AAACCATAACGAACTTAAGACATCCTAGCATTTTAAAACATTTTTCTCATTCCTTCTAATTTCAAATCATTAAACCACAACTGCAGATTAAACGTAAACTTAAATGGACATTAATAACGCTTTGTTACGTCATCACCTACACATTTATAATTGTGTTTTCTCTTACAGAACTGACGCCATGATACAGAAGTCTATTCGTAGACACTTCGCGGATTGTACTGTGATTACCGTCGCCCATAGATTGCACACTGTCGCTGATTCCGATAGAGTAGTGGTAAGTTAATCACATCAGTATATTAAATGATTAAAGATTAATCTAGACATTCTTATTTTGCGTCCCTAAAAAAATTGGAGCTCAGAACACTCATGGTGAAATATCTAAACCTTCAACAGTTATCGGTTAAGAACACCTCTAAATACTTACCGAAAAAAGTTTAAGATTGTAAAGATAACTCGTACCTTACTAACACATACTATCTAATTTTATTATTTCAGGTAATGGAAGCAGGTCAAATCATAGAGTGCGGTCACCCACACGAACTACTCCAAGACGAGGAAGGTCCCTTCACGAAGATGGTGAAACAACTGGGCTCTGCTTCCGAACAAAGTCTTCGAGATTTAGCAAGCAAAGCTTACTCAGAACACAATATTAAGAATGCTATGAAATCTTAAGTTTATATAGCAACTTTTGAAAGCGTTTAAAACTTTTAGTTTATGGAAATTTTGTAGCTTCATTCCAAAGTATTTAGCAAAGAATACACTGTCAGCAGTGAGAGAGCGAGGCGAGAACACATTATTTCATTTATTGTCATTAATACTGAGGCCAACTACATACGTACGTGCAATAATAACGCGTCCCTGTTACTTGCTCGCTAGAAAGTTGTCTGTGTAGTCTATGCTTTATAGTGTTGTACCAAAGAGTCATTTGAGCGTTAACTTTTCTCTATGACCATTGACAACGAATTCACTATTTGAATTCGAAAATCACGTACCGTATTTTTTTTTACAATTGTGATAAGTTACATCTTATTTTGTTGTTTGTATTGTATGTATCCGTTTGAGGTACTTACAGTCTATTTTTTCCGAATTATTCGTTAAGTACAAATGAATGCTGCGATTGGTATTAATTTTTATGACTGGATCATGATGTGTATCTAATATATTTATTATTATGTGTGCTTATAAGAGTATTATTGTTATTTAGTTCATTAAGTAGTGCCATGAATCTGTAGATATGTTCATCCTAATTTTAAGCAAACTTATGGAATACGTAATTTTAATCTGTAAATAGTAGATTAATGTAGTAAATTATTTCTGTTTAAAATTATACATATAACTTATATAATATTCTAATAAATCATGTTAATCAACTGATATTTTTCCTAGTATTCACATTATTGTAAGTTAGAATCTAGACCGTTATTAGCCATTACGTAGTAACAGAATTCTTATAAAATCAAACCAAATCTATTTAAATAAATTACTCATAAATCAACCATAAAATACGTTTTTTTTTTATTTACGTACCTAGGTTATGCCTAAGAAACAATATAAAGCGTCTAGTGCCCCAGCTTCTAAACCAAGTAAAATGGTGGTAAGTTTGAGCTGGTACTTGCCTCGTCACACTAACTGATATATTTGTTTTAATTATAAATGTAAAAGTTTCTTTGTTTGGATGTTTCCGGCAATCACGCCGAAACTACTAAAAGGATTTTGATGATATTTGGTACCTATATGGGCTGACTTAGGTGATAGGATGCTTTTTATCCCGATTAAATAGTCCCATGGGATAAAACAGGAATCATATTCTCTACATTAGTGTCTTATGTCAAAGCAAAATACAATTCAACTCCAGATATATTTTATTAGTATGTAATAACATAACATAACATTTAATCCCCGAAGGGGTAGGCAGAGGTGCACATTACAGCACTTAATGCCACTGTACAATGTAACACCCACTTTTCACTATTTGTGTTATAAGTCTCATGAAATAAGGGGTGAGCCTCAATAGGCTCACCCCTGGTATATGGCAATCCATATACCAGGCACAATTCCAAACTCCGTGCTACTATTGAGAATTAAAAAAAAACATTAATACTTTTGCCCGACCCAGGAATCAGAGACCTCTTGTTCGGCAGTCGTACTTGCGACCACTCGAGGCAGTCCACTGTCCAGGCAGTTAGTATGTAATTTAAGTAGGTATATCAATGTTTTCTAGATTCTCTGATGCCTCTACTGAACTGGATTGTATCAAATATCCTGTGCTTTATTCGCGTGGATGTTTCTACTACTTCTTTTGTCTAACGGTCGCAAATACGGCCGTTAAGCAACAGAATTCATGTTAGAAAACCGGGCGCTGTATAGGCGAGAAGTAGGTATATTTGAAGTCAAGTTTGTAACACTACCTGCGTACGTAAATTTCTGACAGTATGTGTCCAGCCCATAAATCTGTTAGCCCTAATTATACATGTCACGGGCTCGATACTTGGCACTGAACAACCCTGCGTGATCTACAAATCGTTGTCGTTTCTCATGTATGTTCATGTGAATCTGTATGTTAATAGATACACTCACGATACAGGAAAAATATCTAAATTCAGAATAAAAATATATCTAAATTCAGTATAAAAATAATTCAATATACATTTATTGTAATTTGTAGAGCGTAGTACGTAACTCGTAGCTCGTACCCCGTAGTTCGTAGGGCGTAGCTCGTAGCGCGTACTTCGTAGAGCACAAAACGTAGCCCGGGGTGCGCAGTTCGTAACACATCGTTTGTAGGGCGTAGTACGTAGCTCGTAGCCCGTAGAGCGTAGCTCGTAGAACGTACCTCGTAGAGCGTAGCTACTAGCGCGTACTTTGTAGAGCACAAAGCGAAGCTCGGAGTGCACAGTTCGTAGTACATAGTTTGTAAAGCATAGTGCGTAGCTCGTGAAGCATAATTCGTAGAGCGTAGCTCATCTTTCGTTGAGCGTAGCTCTTATCTTGTCGTTCGTTCAGCTAGAGTTCACAGCGGATACATGAGTTCGGAAACTGATATTTGTTTTTAAAAAATTGCGGTTTATTGGTGATCACATCTAATTATTCAAATTTATAAAGCCCTGTGTCAATCGATAATCCAATACTGCATTATTTCTTGGGGCGGAAGTGGAAAAACATTGATACTTCCAATCGAACGAGCCCAAAGAGCCATCTTGAAAGTCGCCACGCACAGACCGTACCGCTACCCCACAGGCTTACTGTATGAGTCTAGTAAAGTGCTGACAGTGCGACAATTATTCATACTATTCACTGTACTAAAACAGCATGCTACACTTACATATGACGCTAACCTTACTAACACCAAGAGACGGAAAGATATTGTCTGTACTGCTAGCTATGAATCAAAGTACGTATTTACACATAGATTTTTTGCATTTTTAGGGCCAAATCTGTACAATAAAATTAATAAAGAAACTTTAGTTTACGATCTAAATTACACCAGAGCAAAACAGCGCATTTCTCAGTATCTGCTATCATTAAGTTATGATAAAAGCGAGGATTTGTTAATTGTCATTAAATAAATAATATATAAGTAGGTATAAATAGATAATAATTATTTTGCTAAATGCACGTATAAAGTTAGTGTTTCCTAACCTATGTATGTATAATTGTATACATACATAGGTTTTGTAATATTGGTGACTGTAAAAAGTAATATTGTTAAGGCTTAGTTATATTATCCTAATGTATAATGCACGCGACCACAAAGCCTGTGGTACAGATTTAATTCTATACAGGCATAGTATTGTAACCTACCTAGAATAGTTAAATAATAAGCTTAGTTAAGTATATGTGAACAAAATGGAAATAAATATATTTGTTTGTTTGTTTTTGTTTGTTTGTTTTATGATCCGTAGCGCGTAGTTTGTAGAGCTTAGTGCGCGGCTCGTAGTGAGCAGTTCGTAGCTAGAAACTCGTTGTCCGTTGAGCATAGTTCCTACCTCGTCGTTCGTCGAACTACAGTTCGAAGCGCGTAATACATGATACGTAGCGCGTAGTTTGTAAAACCGAGTGCGCAGTTTGTAGCGCGTGGTTTGTAAAGCATACTGTTTAGCTAGAAGAGCGTAGTGCGTTGCTCGTAGCACGTAGCTCGTTGGGCGTAGCACGAATTTCGTAGCTCATCGTTCTTTGAGCGTAGTTCCTAGATAGTCGTTCGTTGAATCAGAGTACGTAGCGCGCAGCACATGGTTCTGAACGCATAGTTCGTAGCGCGTAGCAGTGGATTACTGTTAATAATTCCATTGGCTTGCCCCGAAACAGCACAAGCATCACTAGGGCGTTATCAACCACCTAACTAAACCATTGTCGTCAAGAAAGACACCTAAACCACTAAGGCACCAGTCGCCAGACAATTTTTATATACAGTTTTGTCGAAAATCGATAAGTGTAATTCTTATTATATGTATGTAACTACAGTATGTAGCTCATCGAATAGCGAATGCAATAGTAAATAGTAAGTAGGCCATGTTACGAAATTAACACTGCATAGTGGATAGAAACTAAGGATTTTAAGATTTTGGAACGAAGCTAAGTAGTTACCTAACATATTATCCAGAAAAGGTTTATGTAACCGAGTATGCTCGACCATGAATCATCATTAAAAACACGCAACCATTCACAGTTTGCCATAATGTCTACAATAAGTCGCAGTTTAATAAGTTCAGATTTACCAGAGAGCGCTGCTGAGTAGTCTCTTTCAAATCAATATCAGAGTGTAGGCGAGAAAAGTAGGGGTGGTGATAAACCTTTTCTACTCGGACGTCATCACACGACCTATTAATTTTGTACAAGTTTAATAAATAAAACAAAATGTTATGCAACAAAAATATTTATTATCAAAATAAAGTCATCAATCTCAAAACAATTGTACTTCATTCATTTGTACGTTTATTGTGAACCTTATGGTATTGGTATTAATACCTAGTTTAGCTTAAAAAGAACATGATGTGAATTGTTTACTTTTGGATCAGATAATCGTAAACTGGTTTCTTGCCCAATTTGTATTGGTTCTGGAAATGTTCTAAAGCCTCTCTTGGCAGTTTGTACTCCGCCACAACTGGGTCTTGGAACATATTGTCGATATATTCCACCTGGAAAGTAAGGAAAAACAATATAAGATGATGAGTATTCGCTACCAAACTTCACGAGGTCTACTGCTGAGTTTCTTTACTAGTTATAATATCTACTTAATTGCGCAGACGCTTGGAGTTTATAGTGCACTGTGTTCCCTATTCCCTTAAATGTACATTCCCGACTACGGAACGAGTGACTACACTACTTATACATTATCTGCCGAAAGTCCTTTGAAGCTTAGTACTTTGAAATGATACGAAGTACCTCAGAGCAAGACAATTTATTTACGTCAAAGCAAACCACCTAATGTTTTGCCGGTAACGAAACATTAGCTTGAATTTAAATCGGCCAACGATATCTATCGAGCTATGGGACAACACAATAAATTATGTTATTAGTATGGCGTTGGCCGAGATCATCTTTTAAAAAGATTATTTCTACACTGAACACTACTAACAGTAATTTCATTAAAAAATCATTACCATGCAAAGTACTGAATTAGAAAATTAAACCATTTTCTACCTCTTGGATCCCGAAGCCATTACACCAACGAGTTTGATATTATTAGAGATTTCACGATCGATATCAAAATTGTTAAATATAACGTATGACATGATTGTGTTGAAAAACGCAAGTCACTCTACACGCGATAATAGAGCAATTTCATAATATTGCGCAATACTCAAATTCAAACCTGACTTTATAGACGAAAATATACTAGACAAAGAAGTAAACGATTCGGCAGTTTGTTTATACGATCTAACTACACCTGCCTCTCAGTAGCTTTAGCTTTAGTGCTAAAACGACCGTAAGAGAAGATTGTGTTTTAAATTATTAAACACGTAAGTTATATCAATTAGAAAATTGCCTGTGAAGTTACATAATGTCACTAATTATCACACATTTTTTTTGTACTCTTTGACTAAAAACCTACTAAATAAGAATCCATTTAATATGTATATCTGACTCGTCCCAAAAAGCTACAATAAGGATACGTCCCATTTCGGAGGTCAGGAGGAAAGATATACCTACCCAAATTGTAAGCCAAAATAATATCTATATGGTCTACAATATTTTCATTTGGTACTACAGAACACATACATGGTTCTATATAGATACAAAACTAAACACACCCTATATTCTATAGCCCGATGAGCGGACCCCAACAAATCAAACATTAGATAAAAACTGTTATCGGACTGTGTTTTAAACGAACTGTTAGATAAGATACGCAATCAATGTCACTTACCAATAACTTGTATTTCTGCTTGTCCAGTCTTGCCAGGTCATGGTTAATTACGTGGAGCCTTTCGAACCAGGGCCAGATCATGTAGTCTGCGTAACCGGGCTGGTCTCCATCGAGGAACTTGGTGCCTCTGTTCTGCAACTCTTGCTGAATGAAGGTCAAATTTTTGTAGTAAGCGGTGATGTTGTCCTCCGTGATTGTGTCTGGTCCTCTCACTAGTTTGAAGTATACGGCGTGGATCTGAAATAGATGGAAAATTTGGTTTACTTAACCTTTTTTCAAGGAGTCCAGTCAAGTGAAAGCATTAATTTCAATTAAACCATAATTTGGAAATTTTGAAACGTCATCAAATACAAAATAAATAGGTAATAGTCTGTCAGTCCGTCCGTCAATGAAGCTAGGTGAGGCTAGGTGAAGCTAGGTGTGGATTAATGATTTTCGAGAAAGTCGTGCCGTCAAAAAAAAATACAAAAGTAATGGAAGACTTTCAATGACCATTACATATGCATTAAAAAAAGTTGCAGATTTTTAGAATTGGAATTCCTGAAATTCTAGAAGTCCATAACATTTTAATCCCCTCGACCTCTTTTTTACGTCGACTAAAATTAATTGGTTACTTTACATGAATAAAGCAGTGGTTTTTATTTCATTTTTTTATTGAAATATCCTATTGTTCTTATGATAATTATAAATTAAACCTTTGGTGGCAAGTCAGTGGTAATATTCAATGTCGAAGTACTTATGCAAGCAAGATTGGTCTATTAAATATTGTTTGAGGAAAATTAATTGTCCTTTTAGACTGTTTCGACCCGGTAAAGTAGATTTCAAAAATATAATTTATATTAATATTAATAATAGAAGAACCTATTACTCTCGGTAGAGACAAAATATGTAAAACATCAATACCACAAGCATTACCTTGAGCAGGTCATACAGTTGTAGAACATTACCTTCTTGTTAACGCCACATTTATAAACTAAACTAGTTTGATAGGTACAGATAACAAATAAACTTTAATTCAAATGCCAATAAATGAAATACTCAGAATATAGGGAGTACACGCGCTTTTCAAAAATTTACAAGACTCAACAAAAATAGTAGATTCAATACCGAGACTTATGATAAGAGATATTTCAAAAAAGTATTTACCGCTGATAGAGCTTCAACAAGGATCTTGTCTACGGCCTTCTTCACTGGGTCTTTAGGAAGAAGAGGTCGCTGTGGGTAGACATCGTCCAAATACTCCACTGTTACCAAACTCTCGTAAATTGATACATTTTCTGCTATTTCCAGGGCTGGTACCTTTCCTACAGAAAAAAAAAAATTAATTTAAGTAAATATTTTTTTGTTCTGGATTTTAGATCTGACGCGTGTTGCTTCTAAGTCTTTCAGGATTACTTCTTACGTTAAGGGAAGTGAATTCTTATATTTATTTTTATTTTGAACGTCTAAGATATTTTACATTCTATCCAGTTTATAAGTATAGGCTTCCGCTATGTACGTATAAATAACAGGAATTTCCATGTAATATTATGTATGTTTTACTAACCATTGCCGTCCCACTGCAGGTCAAAAGCCTCCCTACTATTATTAATTAACTAAGTACTATCGAAAAATGAAATATCCCCTACTTCACCATCACTACGTCAACTTTCGGCATTTCCTTAAGTATCATTATGTTAAGAATAATAATAAAGTAACAAGACTTACCAAAAGCACTCTTGGTGGTCAGCCATTCAGGTTTGTCCATGAGATCGATGTTGACGATTTCATAGTCGATGTTCTTCGCGTTCAGGGCTAGGACGGTGCGCTGGGCGAAGGGGCAGTACCGCATGTTGTACAGACGGAGCTTGCCCGTGTAGGGAGGTAGGGGGTCACCTGGTAAAAAAAATTTATACATCAGTAGGATTCGAAAAGACGGAGTCGGAAACATATCGCAAAAGCCGCAACGAACATAATTATATGTATATAGATAGGGGTTAAATAGTCCCTGCGGGTGATGACTCTATCAGGACCTTTTTGAACCCACCAAGGTACCCACATAGATAAATAATTATATCAAACTTCTGAATTTGCTACTTAAATAAGTTTTCTAAAATATGAAAACCATGGAATATAGTCAGGACACAATTTTTAATGACCGGACTGTGAAGAAACTCGGTTTCTAGTGTCTTGTCTGTGTTAATTAGAATCGCCATTAGGTACGTCCTTAATTAACTGCTATCGATAGTTTATAGCTGTACCACCCATCTGCCATCATCGTGCTAATTAATTTTCCACTTAACTTTAAGCGAATATGGGCATGTCTAGTATCAGAACCTTTTCAGTTTTTATATTATTATAGGTAATGCTTCTAGTCAGGCAGTCGAATTTCTATTTTGTAATATAAAAGTAGAAAGATCTTTCTGAATTACAGCTTTATTAAAGCCACCAGCAAAATTAACAAAATTATTTATATAAAACCCATTTCACATCGCAGTACAAGTTGTTATTATTTTTTGGTAACTTAAACTAAGCTTTTAATGTAATAGTAGTCCCTAAATTCCCAATTGGCGCGCTCGGCAAATAACTTAATTAGGGGCATTCAAGGGCAGCACTCTACTGGGGCGTGTGGCCATAATTGTAACAATTTTTTATGGGTGCCATTCCAGTCCCATCATGTTGGTGCACTTAGAACTATTAAACTAATTTTGGTAGATTGACTGCCTAATAACTACAATTATCTTAGTACGTAATATATTCTTTGTAAAAATGATTATGAAAGTACTAGACTAGATACTATAAGAGAATTTGCAATTGAAAAACACTTTGAAATGTGTGGTGTAATGATAAATAAACTTAAACTTATAATAATATGTATATACAGAACCCCAAACTCCGATGTTAACATATTTTTTGATAGTCTTGAAAAGACTCTTTCGAGACTTCACAATAAAAAACAGAATATAATTATCTGTGGAGATTTTAATATAGATTTGTTATTATCAGATAAAAATAGTACCACTTTTAAGGATCTGATGCTTAATTATGGTGTACAGCATTACATAAATGAACCCACTAGGCATAATAAATGTATAGATAATATTATTGGTAATATTGACGACTGTCTTGGCGAAACTCATAATTTTTATCTATCAGATCATAATACAGCCCAAACAGTCACAATTATTGAGCAAACTATTGATGTTAAAGGGTACTATTATGTGATTAGGGATGATCTCAGCAAGGAAAATGTAAATAAGTTTATAGATTGTATTAGTTGCTTAAGTTTTGGTGAAGTTTATGAGACGTCAGATACAAATGTAGCATTTGGAAAGTTTCATGACCTGTTGATATTATTTTATAAATTATGTTTTCCGAGTATAAGAGTAAAAAAAAGATACAATTTTAATAAACCAAAATGGATAACAAGAGGAATTAAAACTAGTAGCAAAAATAAGCGGTCATTGCGATTTATCTACTACCTAAATAAAAATAACGAAAATAAAAATAGGTTTAAGAACTATTCTAAAATATTAAAAAAGTGTATGTATAATCTCCAAGCACTATGTAATCAAAGACATATAGCTCAGTCTCATAATAAAGTAAAAGCTACATGGAACGTTGTAAAGCGCAACACGGGTAAAATAAAAGGTAGAGATAGTCTGGATGTTCTTAAATATAGAAACACTATTATTGCGTCTGGCTCAGATATTGCTGATACGTTTAATACATTTTTCGTTGACGTTGCTAATTATGAAGGTTCCAATAATATTGACAATAGTAAAATAAAAATTTCCAATGTAACCTCACATGATAAAAGTATTTTTGTCGAACCTAGTGACGATGTTGAGGTCTGTCAGATAATCAGGAACTTAAAAAACACAAAATCCTGCGGGTTTGATGGTATTTCAACAGATTTAATCAAATGTATATCCCAGTATATATCACCACCACTAGCTCATATCATCAACCTATCTCTTGAACAAGGATGTTTCCCTGATAGGTTAAAAATGTCGTTGATAAAACCGTTACACAAAAAAGGTTCCAAATCTGATGTAAATAACTATAGACCTATAGCATTAACTCCAATCTTGTCGAAGGTATTCGAGAGAATTATGTATAAAAGGGTGCTTAAATATTTAAATAAGTTTAATATTCTAGCAAAGGAGCAGTATGGTTTTCAACAAAATAAATCAACAACGTTAGCTATATACACTTGTAAGAGCAGTAATGAATAGTATTAACTCTAACACGTCTTCTTGTGCACTACTTCTGGACCTTAGTAAGGCGTTTGATCTAGTAAATCATCCAATATTGATTGAGAAAATGGAAAGATATGGTATCAGAGGTTCAGCTCAAAAATGGTTCGAATCATATTTAAGTAATAGGAAACAGATAACCAGAATTACAAAATTTAATGAGATAAGTAACACATTAGAAATATTTGATTCTAAACCACTCATAAATCGATGCGGTGTACCGCAGGGGAGTATTTTGGGACCATTATTATTCTTAATTTATGTAAATGATTTACCACAAGCAATTAAACATCAGTGTGTTCTATTTGCGGATGACACCACAGTAATCATAGAAACCAAAAATCCACAAAACTATGATACCATTATAAATGAGTCAATAAAAGATATTACTAATTGGTTAGACATTAACAAACTAAGAATAAATGTAACGAAAACGAATGTATTAAAATTTAAAACTTGGAAAAGTAAACACATACATTTAAATATTGCATATGATGGTCAAATGATTGAACAGGTTCGCAGTGCAAGGTTTCTAGGGGTTATTCTTGACGAACACCTTACATGGAAAATCCATATAGATAATATTTGTAATAAGATTAATAAGTTTATCTTTGCTTTGAGAAAGGTTAAAGACGTTACATCAAGGTGTACGGCTATTCTTGTTTACCATGCGTATGTTTGTTCAATAATTCGTTATGGAATAATTGTTTGGGGCAATTCTACGGATATTTCTAGAGTGTTTATAGCGCAGAAAAAATGCATTCGGGCAATATTTAATTTGAAATGGTCTGAATCCTGTAGGCCTGTATTTCAGTCTAATAAGCTGTTAACTGTCCCGTCCATTTATATTTATGAAATTGCTAAATTCATAAGAACCAATCCTTCGCTTTTTCAAGTTAAAGATAATGTAAATAAGAGAAAAGCAACATGCGTACTTCTTCAAGTGCCTTCACCTAGATTGGAGTTATTTAGACGGAATTGTGTTTATATGGCTCCTCTAATTTATAATACGTTGCCTAAATCTATAACTGAACTTCCGTATAAGAAATTTTGTAATGTATTAAAGCAATGGCTAATTAAAGAAAATTACTACTCAATCCACGAATTTTTAGAAAAAAACAAATGTAAATCTTTTAGTTTTAAAGAAAGAAATAAATAAGAGCAGTAAGTGTACTTAGTTTATGAACCAAAACTAGTAGCAAAAATAAGCGGTCACTTCATGTATTTTATTTTAATCTACAGTAAAGATTAAATGTACCCAATTTGCATGCCAATAATGGTAAATGTGCTGATCTAAATATATTGTATGTAACATCTATATCATGTACCACATTGAGCAAATAAAGAATTATTATTATTATTATTATTATAAATAAAGAAAATTAAAACTGTTCCCGTAAGTACTTTGTACACAAATTCTGCAAGTTCTGAGCCTTAGTGGACTATTTTTGTATTACAGAAGTATCGACTGAAACGAAACTATTTTTTAATAAGCAAATAACATTTGTTCCATTTTTCGTTATGAATCCAATTCTTAAAATCCTATTACGTATATCTTTTGTATCAAGCAAAATAACATAACAACATAGAAACCAGTTTCTCGAATTAATTAAATGTGAGTTTTAATTTGAGGCCAAAACTTAATAAATATTGGAGAGGACCATACTTTTGAATATAAGTAATTTTGTGCTATAGTAGATGCAATTCAATAGAGTATAGAGTGTAATATTTTGTACCTACATAATAATATATAGTCTTCTATTTCAACATAACTACGGTTTTAAATTTCGCGCCTAAAATAAATGACGCTGACTTTGCGCCTGCGCCTACACACTATTAGCTCCTGTCAATAAGGTTTGTTTTTATTTTATATAAAAAAGTATCTCCTATAAAATAGAAAATTCTATAACTTTCAATTTATTACAATAATATTACTAACACACGAACTGAATTTTTCCAACGCCTATCTAAGCCACTAAACATTACAAGAGATTAAAGACTTAACTTTATCAACATGTTATGCTTTATTGTACGACGTGTTTACCAGAGACAAATATTACAATGTAAACTGTAACACAACTAACCTGTTTTTAGATGTGGGGTGTCAAAGTTTCTCTTGTTTGTTCCAACCATGGTGCTGTAAGGTAATAAACTTCCGAGAGCTCGTCCGATCGTCTGTACTCCTTGAAGTGAGGAATACAAATGCACCGCGAAACTTATAGTAGACGATAACATACCTAAACACTCCCCGAAAAATCACAGATAATGATTCGCCACAAATATCAATTTAATATGACTGGACAATATTTTGCTGTTAGTCTCGCGCGTGCTACGCATACACTAGTTTCGTAATCGTCGTGAATAAACATTACCCAGACAATAAAACAATATTCTTAGATACGAGTGAGTAGATATAGTTGTTCCACAACAAATGCAAGTCATTAACCATTTTAGGATACTGTCGATGTCGTGACGTGCCAGCAGGCTGTGTGTTTATTTGTAATTCTGATTAACAATGTTTCTTGAACGAGATTTTTGTGACGCACAGCAGATTGAAGTTAGGCCGTATTGATGCATTTGATGACTAGAAAATTTAAAGAAAAATAAAGTAGCTAAATAAAATGTAGCTTCCCTAACACCGCTGTATAAATTCACATACAACGAAAATGTAATTTTCTCAAAAAGGAGCGTTGTGTGTAGCTTATTGTATTGTAGGACTTTTTATTTTATTTTTACGTAGGTAGTACTTCTACGCCACAATGCGTTGAGTAACACAGTCGAGAACCTTGAACCTCAGCAGTAGGTATTTACAGGTTCCCAGGCTACAATAAAGAGTTGAGGTACCTACATGTATACTTTTATGTATTTTATACATATGTCAACAAATTAACAGCTGACAATTTAATAAAATAACATTTTTGTTTGATCATATTGTTATGGAAGATCAGTTACAATATTAATAGATACCTAAGTACTAAGGTAATGGCTAATGTGAATTATTATACTAATGGATACGTATCCATTAGTATAATAATACATACGTATGTATAAAGATATTACCCATTGTAAGGATCTAATCAAAAATGTATTTAAATAACAATAAAAATAGATCGATGAGTAGGTACTCACTAGATTATCGTAGGTAATTTCTAAAAACAATAAAAAAAACTGTACCCCTGTCTATATTTTTTTTCTGTCGCGGAGAACCTAATGGTTTACCGGGGCTCCGGCTCGAAGTGCAGGAGTAGGAACGTTGTGGTTTTTAGTCAATAAGAGTCTGTCCCTCCCGCCTCACCGAGGCGGGAGAAGTCAATCGATGATTTTCCCCCTTAAAAAAATCTATAATTCTTCTATCTATAAACATCTAGGGCTTATTATATTTTGCATTGGTTGAGGAAAAAACATGAGTTAGGTAATTGTAGTAACAAAATCATTCTAACCATCGTATTTGACAGTCATGCAGTTTGCATGACTTGTTTTCACAACTCATTGAAGATGACACGCCCAATATCACTATTTATCAATCCTGTTTAATCGAACGTTAAAGTATGTATGACATATTGAAAATAAATGTTGGTAAATGATTGAATCATACTTCTAACTACCTTTTGAAGTTACCTCTATTATGCCGATTATGCCAGAGTAGAGGCTCTATCCCCAAAACCCTAATCCACTAAAACCAGGCAACGCACCTGTACGCCTGTACCTCATTGACCGACCTAGTATAATAGCGCACACCATTCCATAAAAAAATCTATAAGTAGTTAAACCTTCAGTATTTTCGATTTTCGAAAAATGTCAGTAGGTTCTTTGGTAACACCTAGATAATAGCACGAACTTTGTGGGTATCCGGTGTATAGGAATACACACGTCCGGTCGTCTCATATTCATTCTTATCCTTACTTCTCGTAAGTACCTTGTAATTATGTAAATACCTACCTTCGTCGATACAGATTCAAACACTGTTCTATACATTATGTCTCGTAGAAGCAGATCTGTAAAGAACCATGCTGTATAATTAAGGGGGAGAAGTTACCCTAAGAGTGAGAGAATCTTCTTTTCAAACTATAAAAATGTTTGTAAAACAAAATTAATATTTTTATGCTAAAAGCCTAGGTGTCAAAGTGTCTCATGTACGTAGTTGCTAGACAGTAAAGTTTACCCTGAAAACAAGTAAATAATTGATTACGTTTTTTTTCATAACATAAGGATATATTTACTATATGACATGCTTAAAAATCATAAGTAATTGTATTTAAATTTCAATTTTTGAGGAGTTCAACAAAATACAATTATTTTGCTGTCAATTTTGTGTAAGTAAACAGGCTGTTTTTTCATGCTTAAGTGTAAATTTGAATGACATTATTGGCAACACTGTTGACAGTAAATAGTTTTTCGACGATGAATTGTGACTTGACACTTTGACAGCGAGAGGAGGTCGAGAAGGAGAGGTAGAATACTATAAATTTTGAAGGCCGGCCGGATCTACGGCAAAATAAACCGAATACGTGTTGAAGTTGCTGTTGACCAGCGCGACTAATACTATTTAAATTTTACAGAATAATACAACTGCTGCAAAATGTCTGAGAAGCATTTACAAACCGGTAAGTTACTTTTCTAAAATCAACCCGAAGGAAATAATTTTATTTATCTGATTTAACCTCTTTTGTTTTTTCGTCTATCAGGTGATGCCTTGCCACCGTATGGTGGAAAACTTCGCCTGTTCGCTATGAGGTTCTGTCCATATGCTGAGAGGACTGTGCTAGTAATGAATGCGAAGAATTTGCAATATGATACAGTTTTCGTGAATTTGGATCACAAACCGGAATGGCTTCTCAACTACAGCCCTAAAGGTAAGTACAAACATCATACATTAAAAATTAGGGAGGTTAATATGTTATAGTAAATTATATGGCTTTCTAATTAGAATCTTGTTGGGTAGAATAATAATGTTACACCACCTACATACACACCCAACTCATTTTTATATAACTATGTTCTACTGCTTATGTTCTTGCCATTCTCTTGTACTCTAAAATAAATCTAAATAATAAATGTAACATTCAGTTTGCTAGTTAGTCTGCATGATTAAAAAGTTACCATTTCATTGTTGATTATGGTGATATTCTAAAATAGTGCAAAATCATAATTATTTCGTTTCAAGAATAACTAAAGTAACTAAAGATTACCTAGTCTTATTTTACTACAGACCTACAATAAATATTGTAGTGTAGCTTATAACAAATCTACTTGCTACATTTCTACTGATAAGTACCACTTGACAATACAGTGTTGTTTGTTTAAGTTGTGTGGGATATCAATGCTGATAAAATGTGTAAAATGATAAAGCCATACAAACTCAATACAATCTCATTCAAATGTAATGCTTTGCTTGAATAAACTAAATCATTGACATTCTATCTGGTTTAATGAAGCATGCTTATGTTTACTCTTGCATAAAATTGATGAAGGTTAAATTAGTAAAAAATATCTATTAAATCTTGAAATGTAACAACATTGTATTCACAACTTTTATTTAACTAGGTAGGTTGATATCTACACACATAAGATGTCAAGTTATGAATCCTATGTAATAAAAGATAAGCCTATTGGCATATTTTAGAATATTAGAAATTCCATTATGTAAGTTGTAAACCTATTTAGACAATTGGTCTAATTAGACCCATTGAACCAGCTGATCAAAGGTTCTTATTTACCCTAAAGTCTTAGCTTAGTAGTTCCACTTGCAAATCAGATGTAGAATGTAATCTTTTGTACCCTGTCACTGAGAACCTAATGGGTTACCAGGGTTCCGGCTTGAAGTGCAGGAGTAGGAACAGGGTGGTTTTTAGTCAGTAAGAGTCTAACACTCCCTCCCACCTCACCTAGGCGGGAGAAGCAATGGATGATTTTCCCCCACTTAAAAAAAAAAACTTTTGTACCCTCAACCACTGAACTAAATAAAACCTTTTGTGTTAGTAAAGTCTAGAATTTATAGTGATTCATTGTACCATTTAGGAACTGTACCAGCTCTTGAGTATGAGGAGGGCAAAGGAATCTTCGACAGCAACATCATCAATGTCTACTTGGATGAGAAGTACCCAGATGTACCACTGCAGTCAACTGACCCACTACGCAGGGCTGAAGACAAAATTATTGTGGAACTGTTTGCTGGAGTAAGTATTTTAATCTTTATTACATTCTAATTAGATTCTTATTTAATTGTGCTTGTTGTAAGGTATTTACTACTAGTTAATTTAACTGCTGATAGCAGAAGTGATAAAGATAGATTTTCCTAACTAGTGGCTAGTGTGAATCCAATTCCTTTTACAATTGACATCACTCATTTAGTATTTTTATAAATATACTAGCTTCTGTTATACTTCACACATGTTCCCGTGAGATAAAAATTTCCTAAAGGGTATCTTCAAGGCCCTAGTGAATAAGTTGCTTATGAGACGACGTGCTACATCGTAGACCGCGTAACCGCTTACCACGAGGCGAGATAGTGGACAAACGTCGACACATCAAATATAAAAAAGTGGCCTATGTGTTATTACAGACCTTAATTTCCCCTGTTCCAAGTTTCATCTATATCCGATCAGTAGTTTTTGAGTGAAAGAGTAACAAACACATACATTTTCACAAACTTATGTTTATATAAAACTAATAGGATAAAACCTATTATAAGTACCATTCTGAAACAAACACTACAATAATGTATTTAATTTTGATTACAGGTCCAATCAGCATTCTACACTGCTGCATACAATTCACAAGCTCTGCAGCCCAACATGGTAGAGACATACCACAAGGGTTTAGTAGCTCTTCAGGACACACTGAGGGCGCGTGGCACCAAGTTCTTACATGGAGAAACTCCTGGACTAGTAGACTTCACTCTGTTCCCATTCTTGGAGCGCTTTGAAGCTCTGCCGCTGGTCGGCAAACCTGAATTCGAGCTGGTCAAGTCCAAATATGAACTATTGGTAAGCATGACTTGCAAGAAAAAAAACATAACTTCTCTCTTAATAGTTTTATTTTTAATTGCGTTACATATTATTGTGAAATAATAGATATTTTAGTATGTTCATGGATCTAAGTTGTACAATGCTCTAATATTAGTATGCAAGGCTTTAATAATCTAACATAACTGGCGAATAATGAATACTACTTTATTGTCCATTTCTAATACATATTGGAAATAGAAAACGTGACGTCATGTCTTATATAATTTGACAGGTGAACTACATTGAAGCTATGAAGATCGTGCCTGCAGTGAAGCTGTACTACCTGTCTCCGGAGACTCACGCCAAGTTCATCGAGTCCCGCAACAAGGGCGACGCTAACTACAACATGTTGGACACCAGCGGAGTATGCTGCATGCGCCCAAGGAAGAAGAAGGAATAAGAACAAACTCTCGACTGATAAACCATGAACTATTACGTATTATTCGCGAACATTATTATTTTTATTTGTCCCAAATTCATTTACTTAATAAAGTACAATTTTTTTTAAACATTTTTTTTATTTTATTTTTGTGTGATACTCGACTGTTTGCGCAAGTTGTGGTTCGGTCGAGTGGTACGAATTGCTGCTCGACGGTCGAGCTTGGGCTTTTCCGGTCTTCGAAGTCTCAATAAAACCAACCTATTTGTGAATCACACAGGGTTGTTCTGTGCGGGAATCGAATATGGGATAGTTGGCACACAGGTTTCATAAAGATCTGCTGCTATGCCGTGCAGGTTGACAGTGACAGTGGCAAAGTCAACTGTACATTATTTTCCATGAAGTCTGGAACTGAGCTTGATGTATCGCAATAGTACCTACCGCAATAGTAACTAATCATATAACTTAAACTCTGACGTACTCGTCCACGCTGACTCGCAAGCGCGGTCGCGAAATATCAAACATGACACGACCGACATTCGTATTCACGTACAAAACGCAGGTAACACATATACGGTGGAAGTAGCAAGATAGCGTATCATATTACGTTTGACGTTTTGCGACCGCGTCCACTAGTCAGCGTGTACGTGCATATAGGCTTACCATTAACAACTGCTAAAAGTAGATATTAACATACCTATAGAGTAGAATCAGACGTTACTTTCCGAAAATCTAAGCAAACTAACTGTTTTTATTCCGCTGCGCACTACCTATAGGAATGAATTTGCAGCATGCGGTATGCAGCTGAGATGCAATATTCACGACACGCCACAAACAACTCAAACCACACTGTTTCGCTCCTCCACTGAGCATCCTCAATAGTTGTGACTACTTGACGGCTCCCGTGTCGAATCCGAATCGAGAAATAAATGCCTTGTTCGCATTACCGTAGGTGTTTAATTAGTACCTACGTACTATAACGGGCTGGTGCTGAAAATCAGCGCCGTGGGCTCGAGCCTCTGTGCCCGGTCCACGGTATTAAGCTGAGCTCCAGCCTTTTGCGCCGCGACGCACCATAGGCTTTTTTAATGCAAAATAAATGGTTTTTCTTTCTTTCTTTCTATGCTAGTATTTTAGTAAGTAACGAGAATTTAGTAACTCTCTCTCTCGCTTCGATTTTGGGACAGAAGCGAGAGGGATATAATAAACATTCGCTGCTCGACTAAAATACTAGCATAGTGCGAATAAGGCATGAGAGTGGTTTGAGTGCGGGTAGAACAGCGGTGCTGCATACTGCATGCTGCAAATTCTTTCCTACAGAAATAAGAAACTGAATATTTACCAAGTTGTTAGTGTAAATATTAGCATTTAGTCTACCTATTTAGGGAATATAAGGCACGATAGTATGTTATGTAATTTTTCATATCCTTGTTCAAGGGAATGATGTATGTACACACGGCCACACATCAATCTATACAAAACCAGTTTATCCTGGTGTCGCGTCGCATCATCTTTCCGCACATTTAATGTTCAGTTTATACTGGTTATGTAAAGCTCGATGTGTAGCCGTGTGTACCTACTCGTATCTTATCTTACTAACGTTGGTTATGCCCTAAAAAAGGTCACTTGTGGTGTAGTTGTGGTTGCTACCGAATATGTGAACGCTTTTTCCTAAAGGGGCATTAGAGGTAGAAGTTTGATAAATAATGTATTGTTCTCTTGTGGTCAGATAATGTGAAATATTTTTCACACGGCCTGTAGAGTTTGCACGCCACTCCATAGATATATTAGATTATAATCAATCATGTATTATTATCAAATATTTATTTCTGTGTTCACACAACACCAATATCAGGGTAAACCCATCGTAAGAAACATAAGCTTATCATTGATAATGGTGTATATAATCCCAAAATTGTAAATATCAGATTTTTTATAATCTATCATTGTTGATATATTTAAGTGGCAATTTTGTAAAAGATATTTTTTCAACCCAATCCCATCATGAATATACAAAAATATACCTACGATAAGCTAAAAGACTTCCTTGTTTATTAGTGGCAGGTTAATAAAAAAAAACTATCATCCAAATGTAGCCTCCTCCTCTTATAAAGTCGATAAAAATACGAAACTTAGAACTGTACCTATTTACCTAATATAATCAAATAGTTTTGGCATACTTTAGGTATTATGTACAGTACCTACGGCAAAGTTTACGGTAGTACACTTTTAACCAAAATCCTGTGGCACAATCGCTATAGAACGCCCTGTTTTCCCTGCGGTCGCTTACACCGTATGCAAGCGAATATCGCTTAATCATGTTCCATCACCAACTTTGTCATTGTATGTACATTGAACATTGTACATACATGGGAGGATGGGGAGTCATTAATATAACTAGCAAAACATAAGTACTGTATTCCATAATCCCATATCTGAATCTGTATTTTGCTTAATCGTTCAGAAAACAAAAAACGTAACATTACATTTATATAATATCTACGCAACGCGCAACGGTGCAAACGTATTTAATTAAAGGGGAGTGGGTAGACCATGAATGTAATGAATAATTAAGTTTAACCCTGGTGAAAATCATTTTTTTAAACTTTACCCCCACACTAGGATTTTCTTCTGTATCGTGGGTGCGATTACAAACATACATGTTAACATACACCTTAAGTTTCATTTGACCCTATAGGTAATTAGTAAATAGCCATTGGCCAGTATGGGGCTTCCATGAAACTTGTCAAGTCTATGACTAAATTAAGCATGAAATTAATCAGCATGCATTTGCAAGTTATAAAAATTCTGCTGACGATTTATCGACCATGAGTATATGACTGAGCTATGACTTGCGTTCACTCGGAACTATGACTGTTAATTATTTACGTTGACTGTTTACCGACTGATGGTAATTGATACAAATTATAACAATCATTCATAGAAGGAACACAAAGGTGTATGTGTTAGCTATAAGTCTAGTTACCATTTTTATGTTTTTGATGACTTTACATTAATTTTAAAAGGATACAATTAAATAAAAAAGCATTTTATAAAATAAAATTTATATATTTCACAATGTTAACACAACCTCCAAATATGTTTATGTGCCAATCACTGATGTGTTTATACAAAGCACTTTCCCGTTTCTTTCAACTAGGGGTATTAATTAGCGTACCTACTGCTATAGCCTAGTAAATAACATTTTTGCTGGAGATTCATCTATTTAACGAGTACCTATGTAACAGTACATTTACAGTAATACAGTGAATATAATAAATATAGGTTTTTTAAGTATTTGATTTTATATACATGACAATAATAGCGTTAAAATATAATTCGAGTATTTTGTTATAAAGAAGGCGTACACAATATATTGTAAAACAATTATCACATGTTCATGGTTAGTTAAGATCGTTTGAAGGGCATACAGTTCTTATTAGGAAGCACCATACAGTTTAGGTAATGGATATCTCTGATTGCACGTAACATATAAATGTAGGTATTTATCAATATCATTTTGTCATATTATACGAGGTTGAGAATTTAAGAAAATATTATCATAAACTGCGGGTTCACAGAAATAGTGGACAGGCGATTTAAAATATTACATTATATGTATAGATTTTAAAAAGAAGACAACTGACATCTTTTTATAACTTAAAAACTTAAACAGGAACTTAAAAAAATATGTTATACGCAGGCCAAGCCCAGGTAAAAAGGATAGAAGATTGTTAGATAAAAAAATTATCGCTATCCAAAATCTGTAGACAATGATAATAGTGATAGACAAAATATTTTGTAATGTCAACACTAATCAGAGATATCATCATAAGTCTCGATTTCTGAAGAGGCACAGATAATAAACTATCCTTCAACAGATAATAATTAAGTACTTCGTAACTTTGTATAATGGATTTTTAAATAAAATGTATAACGAGTTGTATATTGCACTAATTTGTACTATCCTAAGCTAAACGAAATTAATAATACTAATTAAGTACTTTTTGTGAGAGTAGTAATTCAACGTGCATAAAATATAAGGACATTTTTTCTAGAGTATTTGAAAAACATTTAGAATTTTAAGACAATAAATCATTGGCTAACATAACAATAAGTTTTCTTTGCATCGTTTTTGATTCCACAACACCCATGTTAGCTCATTTTAGTATGCTACATAATACAAAAAGTGCAGTCACTCACCATTGAGTTTTAATTAGCTGACAAAAAACATCAAGGTGAAGTTCTCATGATTTACGTGTTTTTCCACTAAGAAAAGAGTCATTTCTAACTGATTTACTATAAGTGCTTCTCAATAACTAACAACAAACATCTACATAAATAAAATATTCTATTAGAACCCCATTGTATGGTCGCACGACCCAGGTCGCGCAACCAGAAATATGTACACCATTGTTTGGAGAGAATCTCCCGCTTGTATGAACTTAGTTGCGCAACCGATTGATTCATGTGGATCAAAAATAACCATCACGTTTGTTTGGTGTCTTTCTGAGGTCTTAGTACAAGTTTGATTTACGTTAAAAGTATTCGAAACGAGTACGCGTTCGGCAATCAGAGGCCTTAGTACGAGTTTGATTTACGTTTAAAGTATTCGAAACGAGTACGCGTTCGGCACTCTGATTGGACGGCGCCAATGAACCAACCAATCAGAGCGCTGAACACGTACTCGTTTCGAATACTTTAAAAGTAAATTAAACTCGTACTAAGGCCTCTGATTGGTTGGTTCATTTTAGCCGGCCAATCACAGCGCTGCTCTGTAGATCTGATGGTTGCGCGACTCATCGTGCGACCTAAGGTGTTCTAATCACTTAAGGCTCTTTTTATGTTATAACTTTCGTGAGACATACAAAATGAATTATAATGTTATTCGACTTACTCACGTAATTATTTGACCAGGAACTTGACTAGTTAGGAATGCTGCTCATGAATATGAGCCTCTAGCATGGCTTGAAACTAGCCGAGTTCCTCGTCAAATAACAACGTGAATAAGCCGAAAAACATAATAATTAATTTAGGACTCTTAGTGTTAAACATATACATATACAAAAAAAGGATTTGAACCATTTTGGCTTATACTGAACATAATATAACAATAAAAATAAGAGTAAAGAAGTAATATCATGAGGAGTGTATAATTTCGACATTTATCTGACTTAGTTATCTAGTAACATGAAATAGCTTCTAAAATATGGAGTTACGAGTAATCCTTGTCATGCGTTGGGTTAAAGCATTCATTTATACTAAAATAGTTTGATTTATGGCATTATTACTTTGTTTAGAGGAAATATAGATTTAATAAAATATAATGTTTTGATTGATTTCCTATTCATATTACGCGTTTTAGTTTAATTAATGTAAGATGTTTTACTAGGTGATCCAGTTTTTGAAACAAAATGAAAATCAATTCAGTTTTTTCATGACAAAATTGTTTATTATATTTATTTTAAACGGAGATGCTGATAGCATTATTTAATACGGAGTATATACGGTGACGACCATCCATCCTATTAGGTATGACTTGCAAGAAAAATATTGATTCAACCTTTGATAAAAAATGTTAAATTATTATTATTTACGTTACATATTATTGCGCAAGAGGGTTTCTTATTCCCATTTATTTTATTTCTTTTTAATTTTAAATAGGCATTTGACTGACTGACTTTTAATTATTTTAATATCAAATATCATAGAGGGTTCTACATGTTCTATTAGTCTTTTTTTAAACATATAATTGTAACCTTAACCCCTATAAATTGTAAGTAGATAACGAAAGTAAAATTAAGAATTCTTGAAGTAAGCATGACTTGCTTGAAAAATATTGTGTAACAAAGTAGATAAAAAACATATTTTTACTATTCAATTACAAATTATTGTGCAAGAAATAAATTGCGCCCCCAAGAAAACCAGTTCTCATCTCCCGCGAAGTTTTTAAACAACGAAGCACGCGTTTTGAAATGCGAACAATTAATATTTTCTTCATTTCTAATTCACTGGATCACCATACGAAATAGTTTTAATGAAGTTATTGTATGTACAAGTAGATAAATATTTTTTTTCTTTTGACACATTATTTGATCTAAACTTGCATGCACCAGCATATTTGTTATCGGATTAGAATAGTTCAAACGTCATCGAAATCACTGCATAGATGTGAGTATCGGATACAATTATCATTACACTGGGTGAGATGATCCATTCTAATAACTACCCTAGGCACTTAGCTGAATTTTGAAAATATTGAATAAAGATTTTGAAGTAGTTTTCGAAAATATCTGAAAAGATTAGCCTTCTAATTTGTTTTGAACATTCCATGATCTAGGAGACAATATTATGACGTTATATTACCGTGATTGTTCTAATATGTGAAGAGATACTGTTCTAAACTTACCGCAGCTTCATTTCTCTCATATAAGAACAAAAAATGCAATAAAACATCATACCCCAATATTTCCTGACATTCCCTTCTTATACTTAAAATCATTAAAGCAATTACCGTTAAGTTTTCTTCTTAAATATGTTCTGTAAATTCATATTTGATTTAGATTGTTGGAATATCTGCGTGACTCTCCTGCCGACCTCCTGTGCAGCTTGTAGGTTGGTGTTTGGTCGTGGTGGGGGTTCCCTCATCATGTCCCCGCTTGTTCCAGTACCCACTAAGTTGTGTATTAAGGCTTCTATAGCAGCTTTGTACTGAGATAACGCTGGCGTTTGTACATTTTCTTCTAATTTTCTGTTGGTAACAAAATAGTGTTGTTTAGAGGCTAATAACGTACCTGTCGTACTCAAGGTTTTAATGAAAGAAAGAAAAAGTGTTTAAAGATACCATAGGATAAACATTTCTGGGGATATAGTACACAATAATGACGAAAATGGACTGTGATTTTGGCAGAAATGTTCTAACTAGTGTCATATAGTAGCTGGAGGCACGGACCTGAGTGCGGGCAGCAGTGCGGGGTGGTGTCGACAGTGGTGCGCGGCGAGCTGCAGGCCGGCCGTGAGCGCCGACACGCAGTCCCGCGCCGCGCCGCACGCACACAGCGCGCACAGCAGGGACACCGCTGCAACACACACTGGACTGTACTGTCGAACTATGACATCAGACCTCTCCCTTAAAAGGATTGTTCATTGACAACCCTTTTTTAACCGACTTCCAAAAAAAGGAGGATGTTTTTTTAATGTTAGATAGATACTTTGAGGGCCGCAGTTAGATCGCACTGCACAGAATATTGCCTGTCAGTCAGAGGCCGATGACAATTTGACTAAATGTGGTAATCTCCTAGTCCTAATCTAATAATGAAGTCAAAGTAAAAAAATCATTTATTTCAATTAGATCAGAAAGGCACTTTTGAACGCCAACAAAAAATTAAAGTGAAGGTAGTTGGTCATAGATGTAGATTCCTATGGAGAAGAACGAGCAAGAAACTGCATAGGGTTCACAATACAATTCTCTAGTTACATAGTTTGGTTAGTTCGATTGTGTGAGAACAATTTAACACCACAATCCACTTAATGAGATCGAAAAAGAAAATAACTATCTACTAGTAGATAACAGACTTTCTATGTAAAATACTGTCCTTTACTCGAATTTAAACTTAATGCTAACAGCAAAAACTGAGATAGACATGCAGCTGTAGCCAAATGCCATTTAGCACTTGTCTACATGTAGAATAGAAAACCAAATCATATCTTATACTATTATATAAAGCGGAAGTGTTTGTTTTTTTGTTTGAACGCGCTAATCTCCGTAACTACAAGTCTGATTTGAATAATCATTTGTGTGTTAGATGGCGCATTTATCGAGCATGGCTATAGGCTAAATAAAACATCACGCTACTACCAATAGAAGCTGAGCAAAGCGTGTCAAACCGCGCGGAAGTAGCTAGTTATATAGAATTGTCGTAAATTGTTTACACTTGTCAGTGTCATCCCCATACATTTAGTTTTCTACTCTCTCTGTAGACAAGCGCTAAAGTGGTGTTTGGCTAAAGGCAGAGGATACAGAAACCCGGCTTCAATAATAACAGAACATAAGCCACAAACCTTTTTCAGACACAGCATGGTTATCAACAGTGGGCAGTACAAGCAATGCCAATGCGTCTGCAGTCCGCGCGGCCTCCCGCGGCGACAGGCCGCCGGCCGCCAGCAGGTCGTGGGCGGGCGCCCAGCACGCCGCCTCGCACGCCAGCCCGCGGATCAAACACGTCCGCGTCACACTACCCCACGCTGATATCGCTTCTTCACGGACCGACCTTACAAATAAAATAATAAAATAATTTATTCAGAATAAAGAAGTACACGTTACACAACAAATGTAGAATAAGCGCCTGTTTCACCATCTTCATATTTGATAAACTTATGTGACAGATTAGTCCAATTCGATTAGGGTTCGATTCCCGGATCGGGCAAACAATCTGTAGGTATTTTTAAATGTCAGTAGTAGAACGGAGTCTGGATTGGATTGTGCCCGGTATGGCAATAGGCTCACCCACTATTACATGGGACTCGTAATCTAAATAGTGAAAAGTGTGTGTTACATTCTACACTTCTATAGTGGCATTAAGTGTCAAACACCGCGAGGACACCGGTGACCGCAACCTATTGTTCTTTAATTGTGTCTATAATGACGGTACTCAAAGGGTTAAGTGACATAATGGGCACCACTGCCTATCAACCACTGGTCCGCGTTAGAGTTAAGAAACTAAGAAAAAGGCGCAATGTAAATATGACTTACATGTCTTCATCATGTAGCAGCGCCATGACAGCCGGCAGTACTTGTCTCTCCAGCGCCCTCTCTGCGAGCTCCGTGGCGTTGAGTAGTTCTGTAATGAGGCTCGCGATGTACGTGCGGATCGTACTACCGCTCGAACTCTCGCAACTGCTGGCCGCAACTGTATAAACAAATATTTTATTCATTTTTACCGACTTCAAAAAAAGGAGGAGGTACTATGTTCGGCTGATTGCTTTTTTTTTGTTTGTTCGCGCAGTACTCCGTCGTTTGTGAACCGATTTCCAAAATTCTTGTTTTGTTTGAAAGGGTATACTCCCGAGATGGTCCCATTTCCATGAGGTCAGGATCTGATGATGGAATCCTAGGGAAACCGAGGGGAACTTTCGAATATTCTATGGGCGAGTAGTGCGTCTATTATGTTTTTCAATTTCGATTTTTAACACTACAATTTGATAAGGGTCTGGAGTCGACCTGATGATGGAGCCGACAGACAGTCGAGGGAACTCCTCAGCGATTTATTTGCTTTTTAGTTTTGACTTTTTGTTTGTTATTAGTTCTTACAATTACTCTTCATTCATCAAATAACAGTGCATGTAGTCGTGCTATCGTCGTTGTGCGACCTTGAGCCTGCTCTAAATAGGTTCAAGGCTTTCTCTTCACGGTTGGGGGGTTGGAGACAGCAGTTTATATAATTAATTCGGGATCATCAGATAATGATGCTGAGCCGTCTATGTCAAAATTGCAACCGGTTAGTCGGGCCTTTCGGAAGCAGATGCAAAGGAAATGGTAAGCCATTTAACAACGATGAAGAAAATGATATAATAACCTACCTTTAATATAATTTACAAGATATAATTTAACTAAAAATCGCGGGTTACTCACGTGAATATACTGAGAAAAGCTCAACTAGTTTCTAGTAGGTTCCTAGTTGTATTAGGCTGCGCGACATCGCCGCGAACGCGCACGCTGCTCATTAGGAAGAACCCCTCTGTGGTTAGAAACTAGTAAAGGTTTTCTCAGTATATTCACGTGAATTTAGTTCACCCGCGATTTTAGTTAATTTAGTATGTCTTACTATAGTTATTATAAAAGATTTAATTTGTACTTACATTCTCTGAGATGCTGCAAATAGAAGTCTAGCGATTCTTCTTTATGCTCCGCCACCCATTTCAAAGGCACGGAGAATATTTTCACTGGAAGCCCGCGTAAACTGCTGTACATAATCCATCTGGAAGAAAAACTTATTTAGACCAAAGCTACAAAAGCTAAAGTTATCATTTTGATTGATGATTCGAGGATTAATTAACTTGCTACAGTTGAAAGTTTTAACAAACAGATAATAAGACAGTCTATTTTATTAAGACTGCTTTGTGGGTCGAGAAGTCGCAAACAAGACTGCCGAGTTGGATTCCAGGACCGTGCAAAACATTTATTATGTTACTGGCTTTTACCCGCAGCTTCGCTCGCGTCACAAAAGGATAAAAAGCCAATTTGACATATACCAATCCACACAGCGCCATCTATACCAATACTTTTGTTTTCCGTCGGGAATATCAAATTTTTCAGGGATAAAAAGTACCCTATTGTTTAATCCGGACTTGTAACTTTAAGTCTGCAAAATTACAAAGCAATCGCTTTAGTAGTTACGGCGTTAAAGTGGAGCAAACAAACAAACTCACTTTCCGATTTATAATATAAGTAAGGATTGTGTATGTCATTAAGTACCAATTCCGACATTAGCCAAAAATTTAATGCAATTTTTATTACGTACTTAAACTCGCACAAAAAGTTGACAGAAGGGAATTAAAAATACTTACTTCTGCAAAAACTCTGAATGCTGTACACTGTCATCGAGTACAGGCAATATGGTGACCAGGTACACACCGACTGCCACGGTACTGTCCACATTCACGGGATGTAGCTTTTCCATCTTATGTTCCAATTCTGATATTACATCGTTGAATATAGGTTTTAATATATACTTAGTAAATGGTACGCCGAAATTATCCACGTAACTACTGATCAAGGATATAAGTAGTTCGTATATCGATGTGTGGTTCAAAACTTTCGTGTTTGATACCACGTCTAGTATTTGTTTTAATCTGTAACGAAAATGTTAATAGTTTAGTTTTTTCTTTTCTTTTCTTTTAAAAAGAACGTTGCCCCACACTAGCATTTTCTCCTGTATCGTGGGTGCGTTTACAAACATACAAGTTCACATACACATGACACCCAGACCCGGACCAACAATCTGTTGTTCCACATAAAGAGTTGTTCCGTGCAGGAATCGAACACGCGACACGTTGCGCGGCGGCCAGTTGCCCAACCACCGCACCACGGAATATAGAATACAATGGAAGTAGCAAGTAGGCGTGGCACGCGTGCCACTACTGAGCCGTGTACTGCGTACTCGAGGCAAATTCGAGTTCAGTCTCGTTCGAATATGGCGTCGAGTTTCTAGTCTCGTGACAAATACATATTTCCTCAACTATGCCGTTTTGTTCCGTTTTGGCGTGTAAAATTGATAGCAGCCGAAAAATCGTAAAAATGGAGGTGTTTCGTATCATTGGTAAGTACAATTTTCATTGTTTTCTTGTAGAAATCTTATTTTATTTCAATTTACAAAAACGGTTATTAAAATAATATTATTTACTAAAACGGTTAGTCAAAATCAACCTTACGCCTTCAAGATAAAGTTTATTTTGGATTTATTCCATTCAATAGAACATTCTCGCCAGTTCTACGCTACTCAAATAGTGATGTAGTCAAATCACATATTGAATTTATCGATTGATATCGATGCAAGTGTAATGTAACATTTATTTAGATTATTTTTTTATTATTATTTTAGTGGTGACCCCGACGTGATTGGAAGCAACCTTCACTTCACGGAGCAGATCAGCACCGTCATCCTTATCGCCATCCCTATCATTTATCACATTATCCATATAAAGTTTGTAAAAATGTATGTAATAGTTGTTACATATGTATATTGCCTATGTGAAATAAAAAAAAATGTTTTTTTGAAATAAGAAACTAATAAAAAATACGAACAAAGTGATTTTTAATTTACATGCAAATAAATACTTACCCTTTTTTGTTACGTTTAAAAAGTTATCAATGACATATTAGTTTTATTATTTTAATACTGTCACACTATCGCAGTCAATATTTTTTTTCACATTATTTTTAAAACACATTTTCATATTATCGATATTATTTTTATCGAATTAGGCTACATCACTATCTGAGTAGATACCCGCATTCGAGCCAGTGATAAGCCATTCAAATATCACCTTTATTCTTATGACGTTAAACCACAAACACACAAGTGCCACTTTTCGTCGCTAGATGGCATTGTTAAACGCCATCTAGCGACGAATGGCGGTACTTGGTAGTCCAAAATATACTTTTTTATTTTGATTTATAGTGCATTGATTTTAAAGTTGCATATCGTATGATATTTTTTTTGCATTTCATTTACGCCCATTTTTTTTCTAACCAATCGTAACTTCCGATTTATAGTATGAGTAAATTATAAAAGTATTAGTTTGGCGACACCGGTTCTGGCAGAAATATTGTTTCAAGCTACTTCCATTGTATTCTATATTCCGTGCACCGCACCAACCGTGTAGTCATGTGCTGAGAAATTAATGTTTAAGCGATCTTAAATAGGCAATGTATATTAAAGGCAGTGTATACCTATTCTCACGAGTAGATATTATTTTTGGTTTATTATTATGTTTTCGGCTTAATCACGTAACTGTTTGACGAGGAACTCGACTGGTTTCAAGCCGTGCTAGAGCCTCATATTCATGAGCAGCATTCCGCGTCAGTCGCCGCATCGCGTACTACGAAATTAGTCGAGTTCCTCGTCAAACAGTTACATGAGTAAGCCGATAACATAATAATTAATTTAATATGTCTCACGCGAGTTATAAGTTGTTATGTTATGATAATGGAGAATTATAGTTTAAAAATGCAACTATGATTTAAGTGTATTCTCAGAGCATTTGAGTATTTTCGTCAAAAGACGATCGTACATCAGGTAATGTGAATTATAAATATTATAATGCGTCAACTTGACTATGACTTATTTGTTTTGACTGCAGTTCGCGGGGTGGCTGGGTAACCGGCTACCGCGCAACGTGTAGCGGGTTCGACTCCCGCACGGAGCCACTCTTTTTGTGATCCACAAATTGTTGTTCCAGGTCTGGGTGTTATGTCTAGGTGATAAATTATGTTTGTAAACGCACTTATGTATGACACAGGAGAAAATCCTAGTGTGGAGGAACGTTACCAAAAAAATTAAGGATTTTGTTGTTTTTGAAAATATTGGAGTTTTTTACAGCAATATTCAAATACTTCTTAACTGTCAAACACCGCGAGGACACCGGTGACCGCAACCTATTGTTCTTTAATTGTGTCTATAATGACGATACTCAAAGGGTTCAGCTGTACTAATATATATAACAACATCGATTAAAAACCACAGCATACTCACGTGCTAATAAACCAACTCAACTCCGGCCATCTAACATCAGGTTTCTCCTTAATTAAATTATTAGCTGCCACCAAGAGTAACTTAGCGTCCTCAGTTTCAGAGAAATAGCATTGTAGATCCATAAAATATTCTTGTTCTAGAGATACTTCTTGCAAGTTAACACTTTGTATATCACAGTTGTTTAGGGTAACTTCCCTTACTATTTGTACATTGACTACATAGGCCAGTTTCGCTAAAACTATCACCCTCAACACATCTAGGTATAACAGAACTGACTTCCACTCGTTATCACTGCTCGCTTTCGTTAAATTCGACATGATACGGCTGCATAAGTCCGTTGAGAATTTACCTGGAAGTAATATTTTTGTTAGATAAGTTCAAGCAAATCTTCGATAATAGTCGTTATGGACAGTTTAGAAGCTTAAATAAAATAAATTACTTTATTCTAGTAAATGCAGAATAATAGTTACTTTACGTACAAAATACGTCAGTATTGAATGTCAATTCAGCCCAATTCCATTAAAATTCGCAGTGCTGACTTCAAATTAGACGAGAAAGGGCTACAAAGAAAGTTAGATTCTTTTGTTTTTATATTAATAATAAATTTTATTTCTCTACAGACTTGTGTCCGTGCCCTTGTCATATTACAGTTACATTGTTTTCTTGGTCAAATAATTGTTATAAAGATCTTACATGCTACGCTAACCACTTGCTTTCTTTCTTTCTTTCGGGTTATAACATAAGAACTTTCATTCACAAAACATTTGCTTCAATGAAGTTACAAATAAGTATTTGACGTAAAAAAAATACTGTCATCATAGTCATGTTTATGAACCCCAACATTATTCTACAAATGAAAATACAATATAATAAAAGTACAGAAAAGAACTCACCAGCCATCAAAGCGCTCCTAGCGAGGACAGGCACGAATATATTAACAGTGTCCTTCACACACTTTTCCACCGGATCCTTCAGAAAATTAAACATCAAACTTTCAAGTTGATTGTACTTATGTTCCGCTACGGGACAGATGAGGCAGGCTGACTTGAGCCCTAGTGTCCTGATCTCAAGTTCATTGGACTCACACATAAGTAGCACGAGGCTCAGGAGTAGAGATGTACAGAGTTCTATTGGAACGTACGGAGCTATAGCCATGCAGACCTGGCTGGCTAGTATACGTCGCTCTATGGACCTCGAGGCTAAAAGCTCGGCTATTGATGATAGCACCTCACCGCTGCCTCCCCATTTTACTATCAAACAGGTTGCTGGAAAACAATAATTAACAATTATTTTATGATTAAGGGCAGTGGTGTCATCCGATAGATGATGAAAATCTCTGAAAGGGACGGTGTCCCTTCCAGCTCGGGACACGTGGCATTTTGCAGACTTGCCACCCTGTAGTTAGGCCACTGATTAAGGATCTTTACAAGACGACGTCGCATTTGGGAGGCGTCCTATTTGCAAGTTATCAGTTCATTATAGACATTAGTTGTAAAATTTAATTTAATATAAATCAACACCTGTAAAACATTAGATACGGTTTTAATTTCATGTAAATAAATCATCAATCAAATGTAAGAAAGTCTGAGATAAAAAAAAATATCCTGACATTTTTTTTTAATTCGTGAAGGTCAATATAGAATTGAGTACATGTAAATGATCATTATCATAATTATGTCAGCTTCAAGACATCCACTGCTGCACATAGGCTTCCGTAATGACATCTATATTGTTGTGTTGAGGTTTGCCAATACTCGCCGAGCTCGGTAAACGGATTGATGAGCACATATATTTAGGTTTGAAAAAACACACTTATACAGAATCATCCAGTATTATTGCAAAGTTAAAAATACTATAGTCAGAATTTTAATTAGATTCCAGATTTGACAATAGCTACTGTCATTTTGTGAAATAATGATACCACATATAATAGCGTAGTGATGCACACAAAAATCGATAAACAATCAGTGTGTGTGTTTTATAATAAATGTTACAGAAAGTGACAGGATAGCGATAGCGATGACGGCGACAATTTATAAAATAACTTATTACTATAATACATCTATCTGTTTTATTTGTCATGTTCCTTCATGATTACATTTTTTTATTTATTTCACACACAATAATAAAAGAAACGTCTCAGATCGTTAATTAATCGTCAAAACTAAATTATCGGTTCAGAAATATTTAATTTTCTGATATACTTAGTTCACGAGAGTAAAATTATAATTATTATAAACGAGAAGAATCGATCCAGAAATATTGTATTTCCATATCGAATAATTTCGCAACGACACTATTTAGTACTTGTCATAACGTTGCCACACTGAAATTGTCAAATCTGGAATCGAATTAAAATTCCGAGTATAGTTTTAAAACGAATTATCTTTATATATTATATATATAATTCTTCTGTGAGTGTGTATGTCACTGAACTTCTCTCAAACGACTGGATCGATTTTGATGAAATTTTTTGTGTGTGTTCAAGGGGATCTGGGAATGGTTTAATTCACAAATCAGCCCGGCAGATGGCTTCGCAGTCGGTTTCTAAGTTATTTATCTATACCTATTATTACAGGACAACGTCTGTCGGGTCCGCTAGTATTTAATATTATTAGATTACCTTCGCAAATAGTGTGTGTGTCGGCGCGGTCCGGTTTCTTGACGAGTGTGAGCAGCGCGTGCAGCGCCCGCGGGCGGCGCGCGTCCCCGGCCGGCAGCAGCGCCGCCACGGCCGCCAGCAACGCCGCCGCCTCGCCGCGCCGACCCACCAGCGTGTGCGGGATCACCTACATTATTCTTTATAAATTTAATAACGACTGCCTAAACAGGCGAAAGGGCCGAGTGGTCGCAAGTGCGACTGGCGGCAAGGGGTCTCGGGTTCGATTCCCGGGTCGGGCAAAGTATTACTGGGTTTTTTTAAATTCTCAGTAGTACCACGGTGTCTGGAATTGTGCCCGGTATATAGCAAAAGGCTCACCCCTATTACATGGGACTCGCAACATAAATAGTGAAAAGTGGGTGTTACATTGTACAGTGGCATAATGTGCACCTCTGCCTACCTCTTCAGGGATAAAAGGCGTGATGTTATGTTAACTACATTTAAAAACCGACTTCTACATAACATAACATCACGCCTTTTTATCCCGAAGCGATAGGCAAAGGTGCATATTACAGCACTTAATGCAATTGTACAATGTAACACCCACTTTTCATTATTTATGTTATGTTATGAGTCTCATTCAACCTCCTCATTTTTTTAAATCTGTTATGCTAAAACCAGAAATTGAATTTATGTCAATAATTACAAAGTTATGTATGACGGCTCATAATTATGAGCCCCAATATCGCTCGAAACTAATCGCCCATGCTTGAAAAATATTCGTACCTAGTTTATCACCTAATTTAAATTAAAAATAACAGTAAACACACCCGAGGCAGCGTGTCTGCAACCAATGTAAGTAGACCCGGCAGAGTGATAGGTTTCTCACTGGTCACTAGTTCAGCTAATAGATCGTTCGCTAGAGGCTCGTTCAGATTCAACGTCTCGCAGCACCAGTTTAGTATCGATACTTTTAGCCCGTTTGGTATACCACTGAAAGGGAAATGTAGATTATCAATATTGTGAGTTAACTGTACAATAATTCTTAATAGATTTTTATGTAGAAGTTTGCTATGTTTTTATAATAACTATCGTGAGACATACTAAATTAAGTATACGCAGGTTACTCACGTGAATATACTGATTATACTGAGAAAAGCTCTACTAGTTTCGCTCACCGCTGAGTGAGCTGCGCGACATCGCCGCGACCGCGCACGCTGCTCATGAGGAAGAACCCCTCTGTGGTTCGAAACTAGTAGAGCTTTTCTCAGTATATTCACGTGAGTAACCCGCGTTTTTACTTAATTTATTATGTAGAGGAATGAATTAGCGACGTAATCCTCATATTATATCAACCAAATCAATTTATTTCAAACTGGAACCTTATGTCTGATCCCATTACATATTACCAATTTGAGGTGCACACTGTAGTTCATTTAAAAGCATTTGATATTCTTTCAAAAACCACCTTATTGCCTAGCAGTTACGTATCAATTTTCATCAAATATTATTTTCAAGATTTTCCACCACCACATCCATTCTAAAATCAACTCTAAACCTACTAGAACAAGGTATACATTACCTATCAATCCACAACTCCTTGCTGTTAGTCTCTATGCTATTGTACTCGTAATGTACTCTGGTCCATTCTCCTGCGTCATTGATACTCAGTGTTTCATCCAGGGTGGTCACACTACCGCGGCGGAGTGGCGAGTCCCGGGTACTATTGTCGCCGACCGCACCAGTCTCGAACGAACTTATATTTGAACCTTTTCTTGTACTGTGGAAAAAAACATTTTGTAAGTCATTTTATTGGTTGTTATTGATATAAATAAATAAATCAATTGAAAACTAATCCAATTTATAGACATGTGCATTTGTTAAGTCTAAAAGATACCCTTTTTTTAAAGGGGGAAATTTATCTAATGCCTTCTCCCGCCCGTGTGAGGCGAGAGGGAGTGTCAGACTCTTACTGACTAACAACCACCTCGTTCCTACTCCTGTACTTCGAAGTGGAGCCCCGGCAACCCTTTAAGGCTCGGTATAGAAGATACCCTTAGGGTTCCGCTTAGGGCTTCGGAATCATCTTTATTGTATTTAAGGTGTTTCTGTTTAGTTAAGTTAGAAAACGAAATAAGCACCAATTATCTCTCCATCCACCCCGCCCATCTTAATATTGAATAAATAATATTAACAGCATAAGTTTTATTAAATAATCGACACATAAAAAGCAGTTTCTACTATAAACACCTTTGCAAGTAAAAGTTACTCCGGATAAAAATCGAGAGCTCTTTCAAGAAAACAAAAGTGCGCGGCTACTACGGCAACTAGAGCATGTCAAATTATTCTCAAAGCGAGAATTACTTCCAATTTTATATGTTAGACATAGACACGAGCCGTAAAACATAAAAAAAAACATAACAATTCCTAGTACATTCATTAACATACAATGCATGATGTAATTTGATATACATCTGGTGCTATTTATAATTTAAATGTTGAGAGATAATAGCACAATTTTTAACTAGCCTTGTATCCGTATTATTGTAGTTTTCAGTATTAGGTAAAATGTTATTGATTTTTCCTATTAGATAAGATAGATGTAGCCTATCAAGTATTTTTCAATTAGGTATGGTGACAGTTATTAGTTTAATATAACGGTGAATATGTAGCAGTTTTAAATTTAATTTAATTGAGCCACCTAGATGGAAATTTCACTTTTATGACTGGAAAAATCTTGATTAACAAAGTAAACAAAGCGTTGCGCAAACTGATACGTATTTAGCGCAATACCATACATACAAACATTTTTAATATTTTGATCACAACATAGCAACAGTCCTATGGATCATCTATAATATAAAAACGAATCGCTGAATGTGTAATTAAGCTCGAGAACTGCTGAACCAATTTCGGTAATTGATTATTTTTTGGTTTTGTTTTCGTTCAAAAAAAATAATAAACATGCGCAGTAAAATTTCCAAAGCCAAACAAAGTTCGCAGGGTTCGCTAATTTATTATACAATACTATAATATAGCTAGGTCATTGGGTAATACGATACTTACATTGCGCTATTTTTTTCACTATCAATCATTTCAAATTGTTCTGGTGTCGCACTGTGAGTGGAGTTACTGCTTCCGTAGTGATTCTCCGAAGCTGTGCAAGTTAAAGGCTTGGCTTCTAAACCCTGTTCCACCCTTTGCACAGATAATAATTTGTCCTCCGGTATATGAAGATCGATTCCTTTGCCCTCTGACGCTGGACTCGTGAGGGAATTCAAACTAACAATGGCAGCATCATACAGTTTTTGGAAGTTTAATTTTTCAGTCTCTAAAGCTATTATTTTTTGTTTCAGTAATTCTATCTCTTCAGCTTGGATTAGGAGCTGTGAATTGATAAGTTATTATTGATCATAGAATATTATAACATGGATAAAATACGTTTGCATATTGTGTTCCCCTTAAAGGATAGAGCCAGATTATGTCAAAAATTAAATACAATATCGAAAATTCTTGATATCTTTACAGATTAAATACCAACAAAGTACAATTTGAAAATAAAAATATCTTAATATTATTACCTCATGACTCCAATCAGTCTCTTGGTCCAGTGGAGCTTGACAGCTCACACAAACACTGGATTCATCCAGTTCAGTTTGACAAGCCATCTCCACACATACCCAGCTGGTTTCCGTAGACGCATCTACTTTGGGCACACTCATGCTGGTGGTATTCCCTCGAAACAATGAGACCAGACCCGCCGGACGAGGCATGTTGAGACCAACATCATCCCAGTCTTCAAATTCCTGTAATTTTAGTCATTTTTATTATTATGGCTAATTATAATATATTGGTAGAAATGTTTTCTAGTAATGGACTTCTCCACTTCTCTTGTGTCCAATACGTAATACAAATAAGTAATGGAGTTCGCGAATATAAAGCTCGACGTCTCAGTTTTTTCGATCTTAATTTACTCTAAATCCTCAATAACTAGATAAAATAAATTGTACAAAAAAAGAAATCTACCAGCCGAATTGAGAACCTCCTCCTTTTGGGAAATCGGTTAAAAACGGATTAATATACCTAACTAGCCAAAACTAGACAGGTATCTACCTACTTGTCCATCCACTACAAAGTACGTGCTATTTACATCAAGATGCACACACACTCAACAAACATGACATTATCTGAGATTTACAAAAGAAAAGCAAAACACTTTGCGGTTTTCCTTGATGCTTGCGTCACTTCGCGCCTTGTAAAGAATTCTATCAGACAAGATACCTATTCTTATGCATAAAATTAGCTACTATAATAAAAAGAAGACACATATCATTGAAATGCATAACTATTATAATACATGCATTAAGTATTATGGAATAATAAGAATAAATGTTAAGAATGTAAAATAGTATGTATGGTCAGTAATACTGCCTGCAATATTTCCTTGAGCATATCCTGCTTGCGAACTACTGAGAAATAAACTACTCTTGTGTGATTTACTCCTACTTAATTTGTGGTAGTCATGCGATATTACACCTCATTATGCTAGTAGATTATGATTCATTATCAATTAATTTGATGCAGCGGAAACTGAATAAGAAATAAATTATTAGGTTTTAGTACCACAAAACTTAAAAGACCATCTCTTTTAAGGATATGGATTACATAACATACCTAATTATTAACATTCTTCAAGATAAAATGTACCCCACTCCATATTATAAATTTTGGGAAGATGTAATAATGTATGGATCTACAAATGTACCCTTTCACAAAAAACTACTGGACAGATTTGGATGAAATATGGTAAAAAGATACCTACAATATAACAGTCTGGAACAACATATGGGGCAATTTTAATCTGCGGAGCGGATAATGCGAGCGAAGCTGCTGGTAGAAGTTAGATGTATTTTGTATATTATGAACTTATTTCATTCCAATATAAGCATGTTTGTACAAACCAACACTAGTATTATTATTTATTACAGTAGTATCTATTTATATATATTGGCATGTCATGCATTTATAATGAGGCACACTCAACTCTATTACAGTTCTTTGTTTTGTTAATGTAAGCATATAGAATTTAATTAGCCATGCATAAATAAATAAATATGGAATGCTACAACGGAGTAAATAAAAAATTAAAAAGTCATTATGATTGATGATTTCTTCTGCAACATTAAACAAGACTGTAAAAGAGGTTTCCTCATAATTATTGTTACAACGCTTTATTTTTTCTTTGAAATTACTTTCTTATTTACCTAATACAGAAATGCATAGATAGGTGCATGAATGTGGTGGACACTAAAGTATTACATTACAATCATACCTGTATCTTATAACTAATATACAAAGCTGGTGTGGTGTATCTTATAATTAATATATAAAGCTGAAGGATTTGTTTGTTTCTTTAAACACGCAAATTTCAGAAAATACTGGTCTGAAGTTTAAAAAAATATTTTTGTGTTGGATAGTCCATTTATTAAGGAAGACTATAGGCTATAAAATGTCACGCTACAATCAATACGAGGCGAGCAGAGCTATTAAAACCGCGCGGAAGTAACTAGTGCAAAAATAAAATTAAGAAATTAAATAATTGACACTCACCTGTTCAGGATTCTCATCAGAAAATGTAATGGAAGTGAGTTTGTAATCTTGTAACAGAAGATACTCATTTATTAGGAAGTTTAAAGCTCTCTTTTCATGTGGTTTCAAGGATCGCTGGTCGGACAAATCTTTAGAACTTTTGTCTAATGTAGATTCACCATCTGAAACAATAATGTATAATTATTCTGTAATTCTATAACAGATCTGTAATTTTATGTACAATTACATTTGTACCTATGTATTTGTTATTTCATGTTCATACCTACCATGTTATTGTTTTCTGAAATTAAATTATTTTTTATTATGAATGTAGGTACTTTGGAAAACAATGCAAAATTACAAGGTCAAAATTTAAATTTTACGTTAAATACAAGGTTGTCACTAATTAGCTCTTTAGTTAGAATAAAAATAGTGTATGACACAATAGAAAGAGAATAGAATATATAAATGTGTTTGTTTACTTTATTCAGATAAACCAATAAGAATAATATCGAGGGGTAACGGACTATTTGGTTTAAGCGACATTACATCTATTCCACAGAGAAAAATTCGCTGATTCCAAATATATATACAACTCAATATCGACCAAAATGTCGCTTAAACCAAATAGTCCGTTACCCCTCGATATATACTTATTGGACAAGTAGTAGTTAGCTCACAACAATATACTATAATACAAAACAATATGATAGAAGGCATATGAATTACCAGCAAATTGAGTTAGATTAGCTCTAAGAGCATTGATGGTCTCCCTTGCTTTTCTCAACTCAAATTCAAGGACTGCAACATCCCCTCCACTGCCACCCCTGTCACCACCACCATCTTCCGAGTACCTCGCTGTGTCCAGAGAGTCCAGAGTGGCTTGACTTGGTGTCCGGTCTATTAAATCAACGGAATATTGTTAATTTTTTTTTTACTTACTGTCTTATCTCTTAAGATAGTCTTTTAATTCATTGGACAATCAATTAAGATGCACATATTAAGTACGATACTACTTGTTTAATTAAATATTAATATCTAATTTCAAAAACATAAACAAACAAACTTAGATTGCCCAAAGAACAGTTATAATTTAATCAATATTAGAAATTACATATTTTTATATTTTTCTCGCTTATTATTTTTATTAGCGGCAATTAAAAACAATAAACTTACGCATTGAAGAAAAATCGGATGCCCTAGAAACATGTTGTTCAAAGTTGCCTGGGTTTGAGAAGAATTCTCTGAGTTGTGGTAATTCTTTGCCGCTCTCCACTAGCTCCGTATGAAGCTCCAAGGCAGTCAGGAAGTAGTGGTCTTTAAGTAGTTTCGTAGCAATGTCCTCATAAGCTAAGTGAGGTGATGCTGCGAAAGAACTTTCTTCAATATCCTTATACGGATTCATATTGTTACACACAATTGTTTACATGTCATATGTAATTTAAAACTATGATTATTGTCTTAATACACGACAACTTTTTTCGCTATTCATTCAACGTTTTTTTCTTCTTGAAATAGGAAAATGTATTCCACAAAAACTGAACTTGACAAATAACAATACGAAGATGTCATTCAAGTTAAACGTCATTTTTTACTTTTTAATGTAACTTAACTAGAGAGGGGCAATCAGTTTGTATTGTATGATATTTACGGTTTTTATGTCATTTATTCCCTAAAAGAACTTATAATTCAAAATTACGAGTGAACTTTACGTTGTATATAAAGTAATGATTTAGTTCAATTGAACAAAAGTATAACAACTGTGCATAACTTTCTTTGTTTCTAACTTCCTATTAAGTGATTTATTTTTTGTGAATAGTTGGTAACATTGTTTGACCTGTCAATCAAATCCGAATACAAACAAAACTTGAAATCTCGTTACTTATTTGGAATTAAATTTTGTAAATAATTTAAAACCGAACATGTACCAAATGTTGTTCTTACAATCCTAACATGTCATTATTACGTTAGATTTTAAACAACATTATTATATAGTATTTTTTGTGCGTGTTCTGTAAAAACTTTCAAAATGGGTGAAGCTTATTTTACTTTAAAGCGTAAGTTGGAGGATCTCGGTTATAACATCTCGCTACCAATAGATGCAGTTCCCTTAGTAGAAACTATACTAGCAGATCTCTTACAAACTACACGCAGCTTACAACATTACATGGATTTATCCAAAGAAGCTCTTATGCAGCGAGATTCTTTGATGATGGAGGCAGAGCCTTACAAATGCGACAACGCTAAACTAATACAAGAAAACAATCAACTACATAAAAAAGTTATGAAACTAACTGAAGATAATCTTAAACTTTCTAAAGAATCCAAAAGAAAAATCAAAAGTTTAACTGAAGAGCTTATGAAGAAAGATGTAACTATTAGTAAACTGCAGCATGACATACGAGACCTAAGTCTGAGAGGTTTGTGTACAGACACTTTTAGTAGCCGAAATAAAAGTAAAAGAAAGGATGGAGAGAGCACCAGCATAAGTAAAGTGTGTATGTGTAATGAGAGAAAGAATGCGTACAGTGATAAAGATGTAACAGAACTAACTAACAAGATTCATGCACTTGAAGAGAAGAATGATGCATATTGTGATGAAATATTGGTCCTCAAAAACCAAGTTGAACATAGAGATGACGAAATTATTCGCCTTAACATGCTGTTAGAAGGTGGTAGACCTCTAACAGCTATCAGTAAAGATTGTTGCAATCTAAGCTCTAGTGAAAGAATTCAGACTTTATTGAAAGATTTAAGGGAACTGGAAACTGCAAATGAACTTTTAAAAAAAGAGGTTGATAATGGTTTAGAGAAACAGCATGAAGCCATGCTCAGAGCACTCAGTCTTGCAGACAAAAATAAAAGTTTACAAGATGAATTACACAAGGTTGACACTTTGGCTTTAAAAGTTGAAGAGGACTGTAACATAAGATTGGCTTCAATGACAAAAGAAGTAGAATTTCTACAAAAGAGAGTGGAAGGTTTAGAATTGAAAAATTCAGGATTAGAAAGAAAACTTCAGGAACAGCAATTAAAAGACAATACACCTAGAATTATTAAATTACAAGAAGAATTGACTGCAGCTTTAAAAGAAAATGATGCCTTACACAGTGAAGTCAAGGATTTGGTAGAGCTTAACAAAAATTTACAAGATAAGATTTTCAAATTGCCCCAATTAAGTAAACCAGCAGATCATGGTGATGAATATGGATATAATAAAGATAAAATGGACTGTCTCACTAAAACTGATTTACAAAAGCTGCTAAGAGAAGAGAGAAATAAATATGAGCTTCACATGACAACTGTTCAAGAAAAGATGAATGAAATTATGAATACTTTTAATCACCACATGTCGAAATGCAAAGACAAGGCAAGTCCTAAAGTAAGTAGTTCCAAGGAAAATGCATTCATAAGAGATTTGCACACAAAACTATGTGAAGGTGAACAAAAAATATTGATGTTAATGAAACAAAATGATGAACTGAAAAGGAAAACAAGCTATCTAGAAGAAAACAGTAAGCAGAACTTTAAAGATGTTATCAGTCAGTTGAATGTTGAAAATGCTGAGCTATCAAAAGAAAACATTGAGTTAAGTAAACAGTTGAGTCAATACAAAAATTTAAACACAGTCAGACATAGTGATAGAGGTGATTTTTATAGAAATGATGCCCAAAAGCTCAAGGATCAAGTTAATGAATTACTTAATCAAATACAATTACTGAAGAAAGATAAACAAGAATATAACTTAAGATATAAAGAAGCCTTAGAGTTGTCTGAGAAATTAAAAATGGATTTAGTATTTAAACAGAAAGAAATTGAGCATTTAGAAGCAGAAAACTGTTCATACAAAATGACAAGTAGGAATGGAATGGCTTCCACTGAACATCTGAAAGAGGAATGCAACTTTTTGAGAGAGCAACTAAAGAAAATGCAAACAGATGTTATCAAAGAAAAAACACTTTCAAGTCAAATTAAAAATATTCAGTTAGAAACTGAAAGGAGTGGCAATGAGTTACAAAATGAATTATTGAGTGTACAGAAGAAACTTAGTTTATCTAATGATACTATAGAATCTTTGGAGAGAAAGTGCAAAGAATTACAATCTGAAATCTCATCTTTAAGAAACGACAAGTCTAATCTACTAGATAACATTAAAAAGGTTGACAAAGAATGTGACAAACTGGTGATAGAGCTGGATCATAAGACAGAAAACACATGTATGCTTGAACAAAAGATAAAATCCCAGAAGTATGAAATAGATAAATTAGAAAATGAAATCTCGGACTTGAAGAGAAAGTTGAATGTAAATAAAGTATCTGAACATAAATTAGCAGATCATGAAACGCAAATAAATTTCTTAAATGGTGAAATACAACGGCTCACAAAACAACTTGATACTGCTATTATGGAAAATAAACACCTGCAAAATAGTTTGGCTGATGCCAATGGTGCATTGAAGCTTAATAAAATAGAATATGATAAATCTCGTAAAGAAGTTGATACCTTGAGACAACAGCTACAACATTATGTTGCTGAAATCAGGCGTATTGAAGAGCTATTGTCACAAAAAGAGGCAGAGAGAGCAGACATGCTAGAACATTTTGCCAGTCTCTCTGTAGAAGCTAATATTTTGGAAAATACAAATCATTCTCTAGAGAGTGAATCAGCTTCAAAAACAGTACAGCTACAGACTTCTACAAGCAGGATTCAAAACTTAGAAGCTAAATTGATGGACAAAGAAACTATGGTAGAAGCTCAAGCCTCACGGATAGCTGCAATGCAGTGCAAAATAAACTCTTTGGAAAATGAAGTAAAACTTATTTCAGAAGAGAAGACTATTCTGGAACAAAATGTTTCATACTTGAAGCAGATGTGTAGTAATTTACAGTCAGAAAATTCTAATACCCTCAGAGGAATTAATGAAACTGATTCTGAAATGAAACTTTATGAGACCAGAATTAGAAGCCTTTCAAATAAAAAGACTAAATTAGAAGTCGAGAATGAAGAAATGAAACAGAACTTAGCAACTACAGAAAAGTTGTTATCAAATGCAAGAAAGGAGATTGTAGAACTAAAGTTAGCATTGCAAGATGCAACTTCGGAAACTAAATTATTGCAAGAAAGTGTTAACAGATTAACCAGGAGAGATGATGAACCTCATGAGGTAATCATATTTTCTCTATCTACCTACATTTCATTGAATTTATGAAACAAGACCTGGGTTCAATTCCCACTTTACAAAAATATTATTAAACATTCTCATTTCAAGGTTCAAGCCTTTTTAAAAAATTATAAATATATTACATAGCTTAGCAAATACAATTAACTCAGTACTTCTCTATAATCTTCAAAATTATTAAAATCTGTAAATTGTTACAGGGTTGCCAATTAAAAAACATTTTTTAGTTTTTTTTTATCTTTTTTTTCAGACTCCCATGGCAAAGGACCATGAATATGAGTTACCTCTCATGCTGGATGAGATTCATGAAGAGAGCCATGAGGATGATGAAGAAAGCGCAAGATATCACAGGAGCCGTAAATCTTTTGCAAAATATTCTCATAGTAGCAGCACTTTATAAGACATATGATAGTATTAAAATTCTACAATGTTCAAATACAGGGTAAGATGTATACTAACTTAATATATTATTTGTCTATACTGTAGTATGAAATACATGATAATAATTAATAAATTAATATCATGATAGTCTAGATCTTCAGATCTTGTTTCTAGAATATTTTCATTGATAAAAATGAATGTCTTTGACAAAGTTGATTCTGTGCTGTGTTTATAAAGGTTGTTCTGTAAATACATATATTATAAAGGTCTAATATATTACTTTTATGTGTTAAGAATTAGTTTTATTTTCACCCTAGTTAAAAAAAATAGTGGTAAAAAACATACTGACTGAATTGAGGACCTCCTCCTCTTTGGGAAGTTGGTTAAAAATATTCTAGTATAACAAAATAGTAATTTAAATTAGATAAAGGTTTTTCGTAATAAAATAACATAGTTATATCCAAACCATTTATTTCCTTTGGATAATGTTGAAATATGGAAAATGATTTTCCCTTTTTTCAAATGTTCCTCTACATATATATCTATTTACAACATGATCACACTAGCTTTGCATTTTTTATAGTTTTGCTTCTACAAACGTGATATTTAATATTGTACATGATAAGTACAAAAATGTGAAAAAATAATATTTGAAATATTATAAAACTTCCATTTTACATGGTGATACTGTGGTTTTGACAGTCAAAATTGAACTTTACGGCTTTTTATAACAGCTGCATATTTGATTCTAAAATTATTTGATTCCTGTGTATGTACAGGCCTCAGCTCACATAACTTATTGCCCAGATAACTAATACATGCGCATGCTGAGTAGAAATTGTTTAGTAATCTATTACTAATGATTACTAATCAGGTCATATTTTATCCAACAATAATTTACTGATTGTATTTGCTTTCGTTACACTTATACAATATTCGTCACACCATTTGATAAATCCCAAAACCACAGAAATATTAATATTAAAATTATCACCATGCTCCATTTAACAATAACAGTATGAATATCTAATTGTAATAGGTAATAAATAATGTCAATAAAGAAAATATAATTTAAATCTTCATCCAATCGATTACAAAATAATTAATTATTACTATAAATAAATTAAAATATCATTTCTTTAATTGTGAATGGTAAACATTGTACATTGTCAAATAAATAAAGGTCTTTTGTGGCCCTATTTGATAATAATTATTATTTTTCAACACATTCCAGATTGTACTTATAGAATAATTATACTGACAAATTAGGGAACTATTATGTACACAAACATAAGTACAAACCCAGATATGAGTGTAATGACAATTGATTTCAATTAAAATTAGGAGATTTCATCCTTAATGACATGACTAACCCGTAGTATGCCTAGATATACTTGAGACACAAGGTGTTTTCTACTTTGTCTTATATTCTGGCATACAAGAGGATAAGCTACACTCAAACGAATGCTGAATTTATATTCTCTGTGGTATGTCGGTGGGCCCAATAAGTCTCATATAATCAAGCAATGAGCAAAAATAGTCAAATAATAATTTCAACTTTAATACAATCAATGACAATGTCAATGCTAATAATTAATTTTTCATACAATTTTAACATGGAATGCATATTTTATGATTAAAATGAAAATGTAGGATCAGGTATACAACTTATCACAATACATTCAAGATAATATTTAAAATATAATGAAATTTAGGATTCATTGAACAATACCATTGTTTCTATATGATTTTAAGTAGAAAAACTAATACTAGAAATATGTATTCTTTGTGAAACATCAGTCATTATATTTTATAGGTAGGCACATATTTACATTCTAAAACAATTCATTATTTTATTGCATAGTCATATTCATAATGAATTCCCTAGGTCTCTTTACTATAATTTATACAAATATGCAAGACATGATAGTTCATACAAAAATTAAGCACATTGTGTATTATATGCCGCTAAATATCAATGATTACATATTTACATCAGATAGCTAATGAGTATTCACTATGGGGGGAACCTTGACCACCAGTCAACCTGTTCCATTCAAGGAAGTTATGCATATCATACAGCACCTTTCCTTTCACTACATTCCCATTCTATAATCTATGTTAATTGACTCAGAATTTATTGGATTTATAATAAATTATATAGTTCATAAATATAACGTGATGTAATTAGCTAAATTAAACTAGTTATCATTATTACAAAGTAGCCAAAATCCTTGTGAAACCCATCCCAGCTCCAAGCACAGTTTGTCCAATTCCCCAGATCATGGCATGTATGGGAGGCATAGTTAACGTAGCGGCTCGGTATATGAACGCGATCGCAGCACTGGTCGCCACACCTGAAGTCACTGGAGTCACGACACCCATCACTATTAACAACACTGGGAAGAACTTCCCATACTTGTGCTTTCTCAGAGTTCCAAACGCGACTAGTGCCGCACACGTATGCACAAACACTGACGAGAACAAAGACCACAGGAACACGGGGTACCACATTTCACCAAATGTATTCAGTGGATCACCAGGAGTCAATCTCAATATATCAACGAATGAATCAAATTCCGACACTCGAAACTCTGACAACATGTCATACATGTTGTCTTTCCGTTTTTAAAGCTTACAGGCATCGGGGCAGTTTAATTTATCGAAAAAATTCTTACGACACAAAGTACTTCTTTGGAACGGTTTGTTGATCTAAATAGTCACTTACATATTCTATGATTTATGACCCTACGCCGTTACTTAACATATTCAATTATGGATCTTATCAATTCTAGGATAAGTTACTAATGTTTATTTGATAAAAAATACGGCTGATCGACTGGTTCGGAGCTGACATTTTGTTTTGTTTTTGACAGTCTTTTCTTGACAACCAAATGTCAATCTCTAACGAATGAGTCAATGTTTTAAGGAATAGTATACATTTTTTTCAGGGCGGCGGAAAAGAAATGCTATTTTGATAAAGTTAGGGAGAGAGAGAGGCAGAGACAGATGCTAATATTTCATTTGTTTGTTTTTTATTATTATTTTTTTAGTATTGATCTCGTAATACAATAAATCTTATTCTTTTTACATGAAGCTCTCGCTTTAACTGGGTGCTAAATTTCCTAGGACTCAAATAACATGTTTAGTGTCGCCAATTAATATCATCATGATCAATAAAAAGTGATGTCTGATTGTCTATGTATATAATGAAGTTAGCAACAATTAGACAAAAGCTTATACCACCGGAGAATTTGAAGTTATTTCCAATAAAATAATTTTGTAAGGTGTGCTTATTTGTTGTGTTATTGACTGTGTTAAAAATTACACTCTTAAACATTCCAGATATAACTACCTTGTAAGGAAGTGATAAACACTTGATAATCGTAAGTTATCTTGCAGTTCTTTCCTCTAGTTTCCATTGCCATGAAGTTCGCGCTTAGCGTTTGACATTAGCTAAGCAATCCGCGAACGTTGATGATAACCTTTATTTTCCTGCGTAGACCGCGTGAGTTGTGGTTATTTTATTGTATTGTAATATATTGGAAGTGTTAAGGTACATAACGAAATGGGGAAGGTACGTTCAGCGCCGTGTGCACCCCGGAAACAGGGGTTCAATAAAGGTGCACATTCAATGAACCCAGATAGACCGACTGAAGGATTGAAAGGAGTTGCAAAGCCCAGGACTAAAGCAACCATCAAACGGCTTCAGATGTACAGAAACTTTAAGGCCAAGAGAGATAAAACTGGTAAAATTTTGACCCCAGCACCATTCCAAGGTTGGTTACCATCAGGAACCCAAGCTCGTGTGGAACCTAGCCAGAAGTGGTTTGGCAACTCACGAGTAATATCACAGAGTGCTCTCCAAAAGTTCCAAGATGAATTTGGCGCAGCTGTCAAGAATCCATACCAAGTGATTATGAAACCCACAAACCTACCAATCACATTGCTCAATGAAAAAGCAAAAAATGCAAGAGTACATTTGTTGGACACCGAAGGCTTCGACAAAACATTTGGCCCGAAGAAACAAAGAAAGAGAGTTAATTTAAAGTTCAGTGACTTAAATAGTTTGTCAAAGGCTGTAGAAGAAAGCACAGAAAATTATGATGAAACAAAAGATGTGGACAGAGTCCGTGAAGACACAGGCGTCAAAGAAGGACAGAGAGACTGGGTCTTTGGAGCTGGTATGAGCAAAAGAATTTGGAATGAATTGTACAAAGTAATAGATTCTTCTGATGTCCTCTTACAAGTATTAGATGCCAGAGATCCCATGGGCACTCGATGCCCTTATGTTGAGAAGTTCCTGAGAGAAGAAAAGAAGCACAAACACCTTATATTTATTTTAAACAAAGTAGATTTAGTACCAAATTGGGTGACACAGCGTTGGGTCGCTATTCTCAGTACTGAATACCCCACTATAGCTTTCCATGCTTCAATGACTCATCCCTTTGGAAAAGGTTCTCTTATCAACTTGTTGAGACAGTTTGCTAAATTACACATTGACAAGAAGCAAATCAGTGTTGGTTTGATTGGGTATCCTAATGTCGGGAAGTCATCAGTCATCAATACACTAAGAGCCAAGAAAGTATGCAAGGTGGCACCTATAGCTGGTGAGACTAAAGTATGGCAATACATCACATTGATGAGGAGAATATTTTTGATTGATTGTCCTGGTGTGGTGTATCCTTCCGCTGAAACAGACACTGAGAAAGTACTGAAAGGAGTAGTAAGAGTTGAATTAGTACAAAATCCAGAAGACTACATAGAGGAAGTTATAAAGAGAGTCAGGAAAGAGTATTTAGTGAAAACATACAAAGTAGATGCATGGGACACTGCTACTGAATTCCTAGAGAAACTTGCCGCTCGTACTGGGAAATTATTGAAGAAAGGTGAACCCGATGTTAGTCAGGTAGCTAGGATGGTTCTAAATGATTGGCAGAGGGGGAAACTACCATTCTATGTAGCTCCCGAAGGTTTTGAAGTACCGCTTTCAAAACAAGAAAACAATGAAAAAACAGAAGAAGTTAAAGCTAGGGCTGAGGAGAAGAAAGATGAGGCTGTTGAAGAACCAAAAGAAGATGCAGAGAAAGAAAATGAAGATAATGTTGACAAACCTGTTTACATCAACAAATTAATTGTTGCACAAGATTTTGCAAAGATTAGGGTTGGCCTACAATTTGATAATGATGATGATGTTAAACCTCTAGAGAAGTTTGATATACCTGAAGAGCTTCAAGGCATTGATGATGAAGATGCAGAGAATGATGAATCTAAGAGTGTCAATGAGGAAAATGATAAGAATGACAATGAGGACCCTGACTCATCAGACATTAGTGACTTTTATAGTGAGGATGAGAATAATTGTAGTGATTTAGAAGATCACTTAACAAATGACCCAGAGACTGTGAAAGAGATGAAACGCAAGAAACTTGAAGCTGCTAGTGGTCAGTTTACAGTTGAAGAAATAGCTAGTGGCAAGAAAAATAAGGCAGGAGTTAAGGATGGTGGAGTTAAGAAAATGACTGCGAAAGTCAGAAGAGCTTTGGAAAGAGCTCAGAAGAGAACTAAAACAGGAAGCAACTTCTATGAAGTCTCTAATGTTAAGAACAGAAATAGAGCAAAGAAACCCCGTGTCTGAACTAAATAAATGTATTACAACATTATTTATCACACCTGTCTATTTTATTTATTACCCAATTGTGCAATACCTATAACATATTTTTAGTATCATTTTTTTTACTGTACAATAAAAACCTTTGGATTACATATGATACCAGCAGTATTGGTGTGGCCAACAGATTAAATTAATATATTCACTCCATAATATGGGACTTGTAACACTTTAGTGGAGAAAACTCTTTTACCTAAAAAAACTTAAAAAATTATAACAACATGGTAATGTTACATATAGCACTTTTAAAAAGTGTTAATACATATGCATAAATCCCTCCGAGAATTAAATGTGATGTTAAATGTTAAAATAACATTATAATCATTAAAATGAAATTACTAGTACTTATTGTATAAGCATTATAACATGGAATGTATAAATCTCTGCTGTAGTACAGAATACTCTGTCTTATAAGGAAAAATAAAGGAACTTTTATATAAGTAGGACTTAATACGCATTACACACACCTACAAACCTACACAGAGCTTTGTTCTTAAATGGTAAACACGTTTTTTTTACGTTTTCATACAAAACCTTATATTTTTGACTTATAATTATAATCATGTACTTGTACCTATTTGATTACAGGTTGGCCAGTAGCTGTTAAGTTTCAAGTAATCAAAAGGTACTTATTATTACAATTTTTTAAAATAAAATACAACTAGATTTAAGATTTTACTAAGTATTTCTCCCATCTTGTTTCAGATGTCGTCAGGAAGCGAGAGTGATGAAGAGTACGTGCCAGGGGAACCCGAAAAATTATCGGAAGAAGAATCAGCAAATGAAGAAACAGACATGCAGTTTGAGAAAGAGTTGGAACAAAAGGCAAAGAAACGAAAAGGAACTAAAGAAGAAACTGGCACAAAGAAACGTAGAACACGGAATGGTGGAGTAGAAAAAGAGGAATCTCCAGCGAGAGAAATAGAGAAAAACGAAGAAGTATTAAATCCTGAAGAGGAGAAGAAGAAAGAAGATGATCTATGGGCGAAATTTCTAGAAGGAACCGATACTAAGCCTAAGCCTACCTCGACAGTGACCAGCTCGACTATTGAATCACCTAAAACTATAGCTAAAGAAGAAACGTCCAAGAAAGCCGTATCCAGCACGAGCGATGATAAAGAGAGAGAAAAGAGAATATTTGAATTTGCTGGAGAAACTATTGTTGTCGAAAATAATAAGATCAAAGAAAAGATTAAAACTGCTGACAGCCCAGCTACAGGTACATATCTACAATATATTTTTATCTAGATCTAAAATGATCACATACCTACATAATTCGCTTACTGAGAAACAATATTTGACACAAAAGTAAGGAAATTAGAGCAATCATGTTTATTTTAAGTAATTTTTTAAACCGCATCACGTTTTTCTTGTTTTATTATTGATAGTAATCTATTGTATAATTTAATACCTTCGATTTACAGTGAGACTTCTTTTTCCATAGTTAATTATAGGGGGACGAGTTACTCGCACGACTAAGACTTATTGTACGTGTTTGCTGTTTTGTTAAAAAAAATTAGTTTAAATGAATTTCCTTATTTAATATTTTACGTATTAAGATACATGTGTAAAATATGTTATTTAGTAATCACAAAATTAAAGACGGCGAGATGCGATCTTGGCTGACCGTTGACTCTGTTTGTGTTTACCAGTCTCCGTGATAGCGACGCAAAGTAAGCACTGCCAAGAAAACTTATGCACAATGCCAAGTCGCAGGCAACCGATTCCATTAAAACTTTAAAAGCACTAAGCTCTGCATCGACTTTTGTATTTCAAAGCAGATTTCAGTTAACCAAGTTTCTTAAGCTTTAGGAAATGTATTTGAAACTGATTGGGGCGGAGATTGGATTGGACGCAACCTTTTTTACTAGAAGCGATCATTTTGTCCCGTTTCGATAAAGGTCTTAACAAGGGTCAAATAATGAAGTTCCGAAAGGGTTTGATAAAGTTCAACACTGTAACTTTATAACGAGATCAAAATTACTTGATACTTTGTAAGAATTTTGTGAAGATCGTTGAAAGTAGTGACTCAATTCTCTTTAATAATCTACAAAGTAAAATGCCGTTTTATATTGCGAGTAATCGATCCCGGTTTAACCTTATGGAGCTATTCGCACAGACTATCTACCAATAGTATTTGCGATTATTTATGTTGCGTATACCATTTCTATTCCAGGGAGCAAAGTACAAACGCCAGTGCGCAGCCGATTTGGAGGTGGAGGCCTGTCCAACGTCCTCGGTCAACTGAACAAGAAGAACCAGTTATCAACCCTCGAGAAGTCGAAACTAGACTGGTCTACTTACAAACAGGAGGAAGGCCTTGAAGATGAAATTGAAAGTCACAATAAAGGAAAAAATGGGTATGTAAAATGTTATTTTACTAAATAGAGCAGAAAAATGCGATCATCGTTCCCATTCTATGTCATCATGAGATTCTGTTTTTGATCATGTGATTATGATGTCACCTGTGCCCTAGCATGGATTAATGTGATTTATAATTACACAGTCTCATACCAAACTTAAACGAGTGCAGATCATTTCACTCCTCATACAAATACCCTACACATACGGTGCTAAGCTCCACAAGATCTTCGAGTCAGGCTAAAAATGACTGCACTTTTAATTTTTTTAAGAGTAGCTTGGCATCTACATTTATTATTATGTCGCATACATTATTTTCTTTTCTATCTCATTGACTGGATATTGGTGTTACATTGTTCTAATATAATTGAACCAATGAAACAATGTCGCTAATGTAATGTAATGTATCGTGTTCCTGATTTAAAAAGAGTAAACCAAGGAGTTTGTTGCTCTTTCTTCTCCATAGAAATGTACACCTTAGAACGGGCAAATAACTTCATTAGAAGATGACCAGCTCCTGTTCATGAGACTAACTAGTGTTGACCAACACTACCTCAATCTCGTGTCTACTGTCGCAGATTTAAGGGCAGAAGTACAAATATTAACAAATGCTAAACTGTACTAAACATACATTTTCGTGATTTTAATTTATAGTATTATTGTTCTTATTAATGTGTTATTGTTACAGTTTCTTGGACAAACGCGATTTCTTGGAACGCGCAGATGTACGGCAGTACGAGATTGAGCGAAACTTGCGGATGAGCCGCCGCAGCAACCGATAATACCTTAGCACAATTTATTATAATTACCAGCTACTCAAACTATTACCTACGACTTCGCTATTAAACGCTGAACACATATTAGTATTTTATTTATTTTTTAAAGTTTAAATAAGTCTGCCTCATTGGCCGAGTGGTCGCAAGTGCGACTGCCGGGGTCTCGGGTTCGATTCCCGGGTCGGGCAAAGTATTACTGGGTTTTTAAAAAATCTCAGTAGTAGCACGGAGTTTGGAAAAATGTGCCCGGTATATGGCAATAGGCTCACCCCCTATTACATGGGACTCGTAACATAAATAGTGAAAAGTGGGTGTTACATTGTACAGTGGCATTAAGTGCCGAAATGTGCACCTCTGCCTACCCCTTCGGGGATAAAAAGGCGTGATGTTATGTTTAAATAAGTACCTACTGTAGGGAAACACGTATTACGTTTTTTTTTTAAGTTTGTCCCCACACTAGAAGGTATTCTGTGACGTGGTCGTTAATACATTTGCAAACACTAATTTTCACAGACACTAGACAGCTAAATCCAGAATAAAATTCATTGTTACACAAAGAATATGTCCGTGCGGGAATTGAAGCCGCAACCGCACGAACCAGCGCAGCCGGTTGAATAACCATAATCATGCGTAGAATAATTCTAACAGGTTTATTAATTAATTAAAAATGTCCCAGTAGTTACAATCGTATAGATGTGTGTCTAAACAATTATTATTACAATTTTATATCTATAGAGTTATTTATTAACGTTTAACTGTTTTAGGAGCTAGGTAGGAGAGCCTAGTGTCCTAGAGGAGGTTTCTTCTTATCTTCTAGTAGTAGTGAAACTCCGATGAGAGGTGTTGACAAGAATGATTTTATTTCGCCAAACTACGCTACTTATATTTCTATTTACATATTTACAACTAGACAAGATCAGATATAGTTAGGTAATAGTTTCGACCAATAGCGGCGCGCCGGCGTGCGCGGGGCGCGCGGGGTGCGGGGCGCCGCTTTGCACACGGCACTATCGGTTCCTTCCGTATAAGTATGACCGCGCGGCGCGAGCGCGCGCCTACAGGTTAGTCCGCAACGACAGGTCTCGTTGTCACAAAGGAGGAACCCTCATATACTATAAAGGCTCCCTGCATTGCATACCTATGGATCCCCCCCCTCTCAAGCACTTGGAGGTGTCGGTCTGTCGGCTAGGCATGACGGGTCACAATCCGATCACCATAGTCTCTGCGTACCTCCCACCCGCCCCTGCCTCCGCCTCGGAGGCACATGAGGTTAACGACGCGATCCGAGACGACCTAAATTCCATCTTCGGCTTGAGCGATTCCGTCATCGTGGCGGGTGACCTCAACGCCAAGCACCCCGCGTGGAACAGCAACATCACCAACCCTCGTGGTAAGGTGGTGTACGACCTTTGCTCGACCCTCTGTTTTGATGTTATCGCCCCGATGCATCCCACCCACTACCCGTTCGATCCCACCCATAGGCCGGACGTCCTCGACATCGCCCTTCTCAGAAACGTAAACTTGCGTTTGCACTCTGTGGAGGCGATGGACGAGCTCGACTCTGACCACAGACCGGTCATCCTGGGATTAACCCCCAGAACCGGCCCTGTGGACCCAGATCAACCACCTCCTACCCGGGTGATAACGAACTGGGGGAAAGTAAGCGAACTGCTAAAATCCACCAATTCGCCTCACCTGGATAGGATCCCCGACAACATCCAGTCCGCCGCAGACGCGGCGGCCGCTATCGACTCTCTCACAGAGCACGTGCAGTCCGTCCTGAACGAGAGTTCGAGGGAGGTTCCGGCGGTGAGCGATCACCGTTGGAGGCTCCCAGACGAGTTGCGTGCCCTGTTGTCTGAGAAGAACGCGGCCGTTCGTGCCTACAGGGCTTTCCCCTGCGCCAATAACAAAACTCACATGCGTTACTTACAGCGCAAGGTAAGCAATAGCATCAATGAGTTGCGTGAAAAACGCTGGGAAAAGCTACTAAGTGAGATCGAACCAACCCATCAGGCCTTCTGGAACCTCCAGAGGAAGTTGCGCTCCCCTGAGGTCACCTCAGTTCCCCCTCTTGTTCGCCCCGACAAAAGCTTCGCCTTTGACGACGAAGAAAAAGCCGAATGCCTGGCCGACAGCCTGGAACTCCAATGCTCCCCCAGCACCCTACCAGTTGACCCGGCCCATCTCGCTAGAGTGGACGCCGAGGTCGAACGCAGAACCGCCTTACCCCCTTCTGAGGACCCTGACGCCCCGCTGCCCCCCGTCACTCCTGACGAAGTAGCGGACGTGATCAAGGGCCTCCATCACAGAAAAGCCCCGGGCAGAGATGGCATGACCAATAGGGTCTTTAAACTCCTTCCCGCCCAGCTAATAGTCCTCCTGACTGCCATCTTCAATGGCGCACTGGCCCATAACATGTTCCCTCAGACGTGGAAAGAGGCTATCGTGATTGGCATCCCCAAGCCCGGTAAGCCTAGGTCCTCCCCGAGCAGTTACCGCCCGATCAGCCTACTCAGTGCTTTCGGTAAGATCTACGAGCGACTTATTTATAAGCGTCTCAAGGATTACGCCGAAGCAAAGAGCCTCATTCCTATACAGCAGTTTGGCTTTCGAGCCCATCACTCTAGTGTACACCAGGCCCACCGCATCGTCGAGTTTGTCAGCGAACGCTTTCAACGCGGCATGATGACGGGGGCTCTCTTCTTTGACATAGCGAAAGCATTCGACAAAGTCTGGCACAATGGCTTGATCTTCAAGCTATACCAACTCGGCGTGCCAGATCGCCTCGTACTCATCTTACGAGACTTTTTGTCGAACCGCTCCTTTCGATACCGTATCGAAGGAGCGCTTTCAACCTCCCGACCAATCCGAGCCGGCGTACCGCAAGGCGCCGTACTTTCCCCCCTTTTGTTCACTTTGTACACCAGCGACATCCCAACCCACCCTCAAGTACAACTTTCTCTGTTCGCCGACGACACGGCAATCTATTACTCTGGTAGAAACCCAACTCTTATAGCCAACAAACTCCAAAACTCCGCAGCCGCCCTAGGCGACTGGTTCCGGAGATGGAGAATAGAAGTTAATCCCGACAAGAGTCAGGCGGTACTGTTCAACAAACCCCGCACGTGCCAACTCACTCTACCCCCCCCGATCATCCTGTTTGGTAAGCCGATCCCCTGGGAAAAGCAAGCCAAATACCTTGGAGTAATCCTCGACCACCACCTTAGCTTTCGTGAGCACGTAAAGACGGTTCGCTCGCGGGCCGCTTTCGCCCTCGGCAGACTTTTCCCTATGCTGAATGCACGCAGCAAACTTTCACTAAAATGCAAACTTCGTATTTATACCTCTTGCATACGCCCTATCATGACATACGCCTGCCCGGTTTTCGCTCAAGCACACGACAGCACGATCCATAGGATGCAAACCCTCCAAAACCGTTTTCTCCGAAGGGCCACGTCTGCCCCGTGGTGCCTGAGGAACGATCGGCTCCATCTCGATCTCAAAATTCCAACTTTGAAGCAGTTCATGAAACGCTTGACCAAGCGCTATTTTGAATCTGCGGAAAAGCACACAAACCCCCTCATTGTAGCTGCCGCCCGGTACACCCCCTCTCAAATATCCCGCATCAGACGACCCAGACACACCTTAGTCCAACCCGACGATCCCACCACTATCCTACAGGAAAGCCGTAGGGAAACCAGTACTCTTAGAAAAAACAAATACAGACCGCGTTCCACGTTCCGGCCCCGCCGTCGAGGCCCGTCGCGACGTCCTGGTAACGATCCCCCCCGTCCCTTGCAATTGGAGCCAGCCCGCGTAGCTGAGCAAATAATAATGCTAAATAGCCCCGTAAATAATCAGACCCAGCCTGTCCCGACTTGCTGCCCCCCCGAAATGACCCCGCTGAGCCGAGGTTCGTACCCCACAGGGGGTGCCCTCAGCGATGCGGTCATTTAGTTTTTAAACATATTTAGCTTAGTTGCCCTGGCTGGGGGCCTTAACTTCTTGTTAGTGGCCACCGCAGGGTTTTGTCCGGTTAAGTAGTCAACAGCCTTAGCGTGCTGAACTACGAGTGGTCCTAACCTAAAAAAAAAAAAAAAAAAAAAAAAAACGAGCGCGCGCATTTCTCCGAGAGCCGGCGTTGAGTGAAGACTGAAGACTACCTACAGATGAATGAAGATGAATGCAAGTACTCCGGCCTCCGGCTCCGGCTCCGCTTGCGCTGCTTGGCTGCTTGCTTTACCAAACCGCTTCTTTCGAAGCGATCGCTCGCGGCACGGTGTGATAACGCTGTTGCCGCAGTGATGATTATCGTTTCTATGCAGGAAAGTCGAAAACTGTCTTTTTCAAGACAATTGGTTTCTGGTTTCTTAAAACGGAGTCAAAACGTAAACTGTCTTTTTCAAGACAATTGGTTTCTTGTTTCTTTAAACGGAGTGAGTCTATAACTTTGGTAAAGGTATTGTGGAAGGTATCTGGTATATGGTAAGGTATTCGGTGGTACTGGTAACTGGTAGGTATGTAGTCGTGCGGTGCGGCTACAGTACTCCCCCCCGAGCGAAGCGTACTGGGGTCTTGACGATTCTTCCTGTTCGCGTTTTTCGTACATAGCTGATGCTCGACGGAGGTTGACTGGGTTGATCCTGGATAGCCTCTGGTAGCGTCGCACAGTTGTCAGAGTTATCGTAATTAATGACGTAGGCAGGCTTCAGACGCTCGATAGACACGTTGGTAGTACCTCTAGGTGTTTGTAATGTGAAGTACTTGTCGCTTCTGCTGGAGACTAGGTACGGACCCTTGTACGGACGTTGCAGCGGTTTGCGAACTGCGTCGTCACGTACAAATACGTGGCTGCATGTTTGCAGGTCTTTGTGCACGAAGATACTCAGTCGGTTAGTGTGCGACTGATAAGCGGGCGTTAAGCTTGTGATAACACGATGCAAGTCAGCCACATAGTCGTTATCCATCTTCGTGTAGGTAGGCGATGGCGATATGAAATCGCC